CTACAAAAGATCAGGAGCCAGACGAATCCAATCCTAGTCGTGACTTCAAGCTTTATGGCCTTTATGCGTTGGTGGTCCACATTGGTGGAGGGCCCATGCATGGTCACTACGTCGCCTTGTGCAAATGCAGAGCTGGACTCTGGTTTTTGTTCGACGACGAGACGATAGAAATCGTGGATGAGTCGTATGTGCTTCGCTTTTTCGGTGATGGACCTGGTTTGGCGAGCGCCTATATTTTGTTCTACGAGAAATTGGACACCACCATTGGAGAGGATGGCGATGTGCACGATTTTGGCATTGACCTCAATGGCATCTACAATGGTAGTGACTACTCGATGGCCTATATGAAACCCACAAATGAGTCCGCAGCGAGCGTCAATGGCCAAAAAGCCGACGATTCCTTGGTGGAGGTCGAAAATGATGACGATAGTGTGAGAGATTTCGTTCCCGAGTCACTGGTTTCTCTCGAGAACAGCTCGGTTGGCCTTGGACGCAAAACTTCCATCTTTAAGAAGACCTTCATGTTCGATAGTAAAGACAGCAAAGAGAATAAGGACATCAACGGAATTTCAGAAGGCGGCTCGAAGGCAGTTTCGAGAACTCCTTCGAACAAAGACGGCGCCGAGAATGTGGGTCCGACAGTTAATTCCCCAGGCTACACAGAGCCCAAGCCGCCCCCACCTGTGGTGAAAAAATCGTGGGTCAATGGCCTCAAGCGCCGTGAACTGCGGGTGGAATTGCAAGAGAATGAGCGGAAAGGGTCTACCGGCAGCATTTTGACCAATGGCAGCAACAAAACTTCTGACAGCAAAGAAGAGAAAAAGAAAAGGTCGTTTTTTGGGTTTAAAAGGAAATCCAAAAGTTAATCTGCCCTAAAAACGCTGTCACAATAGGAGGAAATACGGCAAAGGCGAGGTTTGCAGCCATGAGTTCCGATGCATAATGCGCATTTAAAAAATACAACGTCTTTCCCAACTGAGACAGTTGTGGCACGCGAGCTCACGTGATTGCATCTTAGGGATACCCCGAGACCGTCGTTTGTAAGCGAGATTCCAGCACTCTTTCCACATTCTTCCACAAAAACCATAGCATATCAATGAGTGTTGTTTCTCCGACAATTAAAACCACAGCCACGTCACGTTTCGTCACCGTCGGTGCCGGCTGTTTCTGGGGCGTTGAGCGTGTGTTCAATAAATATTTCAAAGATAAGGGGCTTGTTGACTCAAAGGTCGGCTACGCGAACGGCCTCAAATCGGTTTCGCCACCCGTGAGCTACGAGAAGGTCTGTTCTGGAGCTACAAACTTTGTCGAGGCTTTGCAAATCTCCTACGAGCCATCCCAGGTGTCTCTACGCGAGCTCTTGGACATTTTCTTCAGAATTCATGACCCAACCACTTTCAACGCACAGGGACCTGACATTGGCACCCAATATAGAAGTGCCATCATGACTCACAGTAACGAAGACTACGAGGTGGCCAAGGAGGTCAAGGAATTCTTCCAGAAGGAATGGTACCCAAACCACAAGATCGCTACAACCATTGAGAACATTGAATGCTGGTACGACGCCGAGGCATACCACCAGAAGTACTTGGACAACAATCCCGGAGGCTACGAGTGCCCTACACACTTCTTGCGGACCAAGCCCAAGGCCTAGAGCAAGCTCAGGGCTTTAAGCAAGGTAAGCAGTGCTTGAGCAGCACTTCAACAGGAACAAGAAATAGCATTACAACCGGACGGGATAATCAAGAAAAAGGGAACTTCAACGCTTCTCATCATTCATGGAGTAGCATCACATAGCAGTTATATAGAACAGGTGCACTTCCTACATCGCGGCGCGTATCGCGTAGAGAAAAGTAGAAAACTTCCACCTTATCCAATGTCCTTGTGGGTTGACAAATACAGGCCCAAAAAGCTCGAGCAGCTTTCCTACCATAATGCTACTACAGACCACTTGAGAGCATTGGCATCCACTGGAGATTTCCCACATCTTTTGGTGTATGGACCCACCGGAGCAGGTAAGAAGACGAGAATTTATGCCACACTCAACGAACTCTTTGGGGCTCAGGTGGAAAAGTTGAAGATCGACGTGAAAACGTTCACTACGGCATCCAATAGAAAACTAGAATTCAATGTCTTATCGTCGCCGTACCATTTGGAGATCACTCCCTCTGATATGGGTAACAATGACAGAGTTGTGATCCAGGACTTGCTTAAGGACGTTGCTTCCACGGAACAGGTTGACTTTTCGAGTCTGTCGAAGCAAGGACCAAAGCACCGCTTTAAAGTTGTGATTATCAACGAAGCTGACTCGTTGACAAGAGATGCGCAAGCTGCGTTGAGAAGAACCATGGAGAAATATTCTTCCAACATTCGTATCATCATGGTGTGTAACATGGTGTCAAGCATCATTTCACCTATTAAATCGAGAACCTTCCTTGTGAGGGTGGCGGCTCCTTCAATTAAGGATATTGCTGATATTCTTGGACATGTATCGCAGAAGGAGGCGGTCAAGTTCAATACTACCGACGAGGATGCTAAATACAAGTATCTTGAATCAGTGGCTGCTGGATCGGGCCGCAACTTGAGAAGAGCATTGTTGAGTTTCGAAACCTTGAGCATGCAGCAGGAGACACTTGATGTCAACAACTTGAATGCCACTGCAGTTCCTCTCGATTGGGAGAGTATCATTGTCACACTGGCCCACTCGGTGATGAAAGAACGCTCTGTGGCAAACGTTGGTAAGTTGCGTCAGACATTCTACGATTTAATTGCCCACTGCATTCCACCAAGACTTATCTTGAAGGAGCTAGCCATGCACATTATGCGTGCATTGGGCAACGACACCAAGAAGGTGGTGGCTGTGGTGGAGCTTGCAGCTATCTTTGACGAACGTTTGAGTTTAGGTCTGAAGGCCATTTTCCATTTGGAAGGGTTTGTGGCCAAAACCATGGTCGCGTTGAACTAATTGAGCAAAAAGTTACATCTACAACTTTAACGCTGTTGATTGGTTTATTAATTGTATCTCCATTGTGTGGAATTGGTCCTTGACCTACGTGTCCCTCGGGAAACCAGGAAATTGCTTCATCCAAAGCGCCAGCCTACACTGCAACAAACACTCATAATTAATCATTTATTCAGTGTCATACTCAATGTCCCCGTCATTAACTTTATACCGTTTCTTCTTGGTCATCCACATACCCTGTGGAAAGGCTGCGGCCCCTCAGGAACCCGCTGTGGACAAACTGGAAGGAGTAAACGAGAGCGGCGAAATGGAATAGCAAAAACCCCACATTGAAAGTTCCAGTCACTAGGATACTAACGATGGCGAGGACTTGGAGTGCCACTGACAAGGCGAACTCCCATGTGCGACACGTGTACTCCGGTCCGGTCAAGACAAAAAACGGACACGGAGGGGCGATGATCGCCATGATATAGAGCATTGTCTTCTCCTCCTTGGTGGGAGCTCTGGCGTTCACAAATGCTTTAGAAATACCCATCATGTATAAGAATGGAGTTACTCCAGATCTTAGGGGCTGCGAAACACCAACACTGTGCACGTGAGGCTAAGACATTTCCAAGAAAGGGTAAGCCCATTGTAGAAAACAGTTTTTACAACCGTGTCGAAATTACCTTTGGTGATTAATTGACATAATTCTCTACCTTTAAATAGGGTAGCACTGCTGCATATGTGCTGCCGAAGTCAGCCGTCATCTCAAATGACTTAATGCTGAATCTTGTGATCACCCAAGTGTTTCTTATCCTTGGGGAAGCTGTTCTCTTCGCTCTCTTCATAGGAAGGAAGAGAAGGAGAGGCCCCAGACTGCTGCTCTGGGGCAGACAGACTCTCAGGAGCCGACTGGCTCTCAGGGGCTGGTTCAGCACGTTCAGGGTCCTCAGCCAATCTATGGTACAGACCAGTTCTGCCCTCCTCGAAGCCAATGTAGATAAACCAAACAACATAGACAATTGCAACGATGTACAAAAAGATCATCAAGAAAACGGAGATCCAGAACTCCTTGGTCTTGACGGTGTACTTGGGTCCCGTCATGAGGAAGAAGGGCACCGGTGGCAAAAGAATTCCCAAAATGCACATGAGGTGCTTCTGGGTGTACGACAAGTCGTCCACTTCGGTATAGACTTTAGAAATACCCATAGTTATCACAATCTGCTTTGCTCGAGAGGAAGAAAAGTAGTTGGGGTGGTCTAAAAATGGTACAGGAGAGCTAATTCTTATCGGTGCGAAATCCACAACTACCTTCACCACCATGGAGTATATCAAGAAGGCTATCTACGGGCCGGACCCGAAGGAGCAGGTATGTTCACATTTATCAATTTCTTGATTCAAACTAACATCAGATGCGCAAAATCAACTCCTTGTTGCGTAAGAACAAGCGTGAGTTGGAGAGACTGTTGAACCAGCTTCAGCCATTAAAGAAGAAGACAGAGGGCTTGGTTAAGAAACTGGCCAAGGCCGGAGATTATAAACTGGCTAAAATCTACGCAAGAGAGCTCATCAACATCAACAACCAGCACAAAAAGCTTCATCTTCTGAAAACCCGACTTGAGTCCATCACCATGTCGATCAACGAACAGTGGCAGATGAGAAAGATGTCGCAGTCTATCCAGCAACTGACGGGAATTATGAAAGATGTGAATGCCTTGACCAACATTGGAGTCATTACGGGCACCATGCAAGAATTGTCCAAGGAGTTGATGAAGGCAGGTATCATCAATGAGATGATGGACGACATGGTCGACTTGGACGTGGACGAGGAACTAGAGGACGAGAGTCAGGAAGAGGTGAACAAGATTATACAGAGCCTTACAGAGGACAAATTCTCCAAGATCGATTCTGAAGTGCCTCAGACCGGCTTGGAGCAAGAGCCCGAGATCGAGGAAGAGGAGGACACAGAGGCGTTGGACGAAATGCGCCAGCGTCTCAAGGAATTGCAAGAGTAAGTCTACTTTATCGAGACTACATTAGAGTTGCACTCACTTCATCAAATTAAGTATAGAAGAACCGCGAGCCAGTTGATAGAGAGGCTTGGAGCCAGGGAATCCATCATGCGATAGATATCGTCGAGGTTCGGTCTTGCAGAGCGTGTGGACGTAAAAGAGGTCTCGTTATTGGTGGCATTGTGACTAGTCGAGACGGTGGCATTGAGCGGCTCGTTTGCACTAGGTACAATGAAGTTAGCAGGCTTCGTGGTGTTTGCCCCTGATTGGACGCTGGCAGGCAAGAAGAATAGAATCTTCTTGAGAAGCCCTCTCTCGTCATCGTCACAGTCGTCGTCCGACTCAGAGTACTCGTCGCAGCTCTCGTCGCCGCCCTTGTTCACATCGAAAAAGAGACCAGTCTCAACTCGGAAGTCTGTGCCGTGAACTGTATTGTTGAGGCTGCCAATATCGTGATCTTGCTCCTCACTGACCTCAGAAGTTTCTGGTTCTGGAGAGTCCTCTTCGTGGTACTCTGTGTCTGCGTTTGCAGATTCAGTGTCACCGATGGAGATCTCAGGTACTGTCGGTGCTTCAGACATCTCCGCTTCATCACTAGAACCGCCTTCTGGCTCGTCATCTTCAATGCTTTCCAACTCATGGTTGGTATTCTCGGCGGTGTCCCATTTGTATGAGCTGCTCGCAAAGTCCAACAAACTCTCGACGAACGATAAGTCTTTAAAATCGGCAATAGATTCAAGAGCATTTTCGTCACGGACCGGAATGCTCCAGGCGCCACCTAGGCAAACTAGGCAGATTACTTTTGTTGGAAGCATGTGGGCTAGTGAAGAGGTGTAGTTGGTGGATGCCACAAACCCAGCTCGCGGTGTCAATCTTACAAAGTCGCCGAAATCAGCCATGTACTATTATATTAATTGATGGATGACAATAGGAAGCAAGCAGCCCCATAAGGATAACGAAGTAGTTTGAGCGGCATTTGCCTCCTCGAGTGCTCCTATGCTTGAGTTGGTGTGATTCACGAACTCAGGGTATATCACCGCTGGAGGTCTTGTAGGCCTACCAGCAGGCCTGGAAACTGTGTAGTTAGTGAAATTGAACCTTGGTTTCTTCACTTCGGCTTCTTTGGGTACCTCTGGCTGCTTGGGTGCCTCTGGCTCCTTAGGCACCTCACCAGTTCTGTTGTACTTGGACCAACTCTCGTAATCGTAGTCCCACGAGTACTTGTCCTCCTCGCAATCTGATTCTGAGTCTGAGTCCAGATCATCCTCTGAACCGGAGCAGCTGTCAGACTCCTCAGACCCGTCAGACTCAGACTCAAGATCTTTCCCAAGTAGCGTTCTCAAAAGGCTGGTGGAGTTGATTGTATTGTTTTCGAAAGACGAGACATTCAAAGAGCTGTCCAACTTCGGTGGGATGGACATGATCAAGCCCTTTACCGACTCCTTCAGTACAAGCTTGGAAGCGGCCATGTACCGCTGCTTGACCACGTTCTTGGCCTTCTGAACCTTCTCCTGAGGGTACAAAACGTGATATAGGTTAATCCAAGATTGCAAGTCAATTGGCTTATTCTTTAGGCTTTTGAGCCGATTCACTGGCCCGGCCGGTTGCGATTGAGTCTCTTCAGCGTCCAATTGAGATGAAGTTGTCATGGTAGTCTGTGGCATGGTCAGAGTGGATGTATCGTTCACCACAATTGTGGGAGAGGGCATCGATGAAAAGTTTCCAGGATGCATGCTATTGACACCCGACATTGCCAACACGGAGAAAATCACCAACTTAATTGTTCTCATGAGTGTGTGGTGGAGTTAGTGAAGGGTTGCAAAGAGTACAAATGGTTGCAAAATGCGCAGTCGCAGAAACCATACCCCGAATATCGACTCTCACCAACACCATGGACCAGGAATGATTTTCGATTTTGCCTGTCAAAAAATTGCTCCACATCATTGGGAAATAGCTGCCTTTTCAATTAATTTTGAAGCCGGTTTGAGTAGCAGTCATGGCCACCGAAACCTCGTTATCCAAGTACCCAAACCAGTGGTCATCTCAACATCATTCCGTCAAAACCCTCTTGCTCATTCATCGTTTGTTCTCCTCCTCGAGCTCTTTGGTCCAGCCATCAAGCTCACGTACCAACTCGGATATAACGTCCACCTGTTTCTCGATTTGTTGCAAATCCTGCTGGAGCAGCTTGAACTCATCTTGAAGAGCTTCAGACTTTTTAGCTCCGACCTCTAGTTCCGTGAGATCTTGCTCGAGCTTTATGTAATTGAGCGACTGGTTCGTGTTGAGGTTCACCAACAAGCTCATGTCGATGGTGCTGACTTGGGTATCTGACTCGTTTAGCTGAAGGGCTTGATGAAGAGCATGGTTCACCAACTTCGGCGTATCTTTCAGCATTATGAAAAGGCCAGAATCTCTGGATTTGGATTGTGGTATCAACACAGAACTTGTAGCTCTGATCTAGGTTATCTTATTAGCTGAAAAGCGCGAACATAGGCTCTATTCCCAAGGTCACCTAGTACCCTACAGCTCTGTCTCTAAAAAGTGAATAAGTTATTCGTGTTCTATGTACATTAACGGTTTCTGTAAAGACGGTAGTCGGGCAACTTGGACTTCTCGATGTTGGTCCACTTCTTGGTAGGGTTCTGCTTGATCTTTTCCAACCAGTTCACTGGCTCAGGCTTCTCCACCAACGACGTGGGACTCACACGGATCTTGGACAGCGTGTCAACAATCTCCATGATACCTGGCAACTTCTCACCAGCTTTACGCAAGGCCTCTCTGGCGACCTTGTCGTGGACTTTCCCAACAATCTCAAACAAGATTTTACCCGTTGGAACTCTGACGGCCCAGTGGTCAAAGCCACCTTTACCTTTACCCATTCTGGTCTGGTTACCCTTGACACACACGGGAGTGTTACAGGTGAATCTGGTGATGTATTTAGCTCCAGTGCCTCTGAGCTGTCTCTGGATAACCTTGTCTGCTTCCTTAAGCTGGATGGCAGCCATTCTCACACCGTTAGATTTAAGTCTAAGACCGTAGGTACCGCTTTCAAGCGAGTTACCCTTGACAGAGCCTCCAGTTCTGACAGTGACTCTGCCCTTGAACGCCTTGAAAAGGTTCTTGTATCTGGGGGCATATTCGTGCTTGAATCTTCTGGTAATCAAGGAAGATGGAGCACACGGGAGCTGAGAAGCCCTTATTCCGTTCAAGGATGAGCTGACGAATCTGCCCAACCCAAGCATTTGAAGAGAAGTGGTGGTGATCTTTCTTTGAGGTGAGAAAAAAATCGCACTCAGATTTGGCACTCAGTGAGTATGGGTAGTAAGAATCACCAGTGAATAAAAAACGACTTCGAAAAAATGTGCAATACAGAGAATAAGCATAGTTTGCTGGAACAGCATTTTCCTGTAAAACCAAACCACGACTCGCTTTTTACCAAGTAACGATATATCATCACTCTATTCATTCATTTTTCAGGTCTATTAGTTCTATTTAACGCTGACGAATCTCAACTTGGAACTTCTCCTTGAGTTCCGCCAACACAGCACCTTGCATATCGTTAACTTCGTCTCTGGTCAAGTTCTTGTCAAAAGACTGGAACTCAATCCTGTAAGTGTGCGACGTCTTGCCAGTCTTGGGATGGGTGAATTGATCAACCTGCTCAACTGTCTCCACCAAGTCACCAGCGTGGGAGCGGAAAATCTCCATAACGTCGTTCACATGCAACTCAACACCCGCTGGCACCCAGAAACTCACATCTCTGGTGATACCCGGATACTTGGAGTAAGGCTTGAACAAGGTGATCTCACCTTGAGTGAACTGCTTCGTGAACTTCTCATTCTGCGTCCAGAAGAGTCTAATGTCTGGAATACCGAAAAGAAGCATGGCGATTCTGTCGAGGCCAACACCAAAGGCCCAGCCGATTTTGTCTTCGCTAAGACCAGAATTGAGCAAAACCTGCTGCTGCACAATACCACAGCCACAGCACTCCAACCATTCGCCCTTCCACCAGACCTCAATCTCCCAGGATGGTGATGTCCACGGGAAGTATGCTTCGACCCAGCGGATTCTCAATGGCTCTTTCAAGAAGTCGTCTTCAGCGCCGGCTTTCAAAGCAGCAGCCTTTGCGCTTTCAAACACTAAGTTCACCATGTACTCGACAGTCTTCTTCAAATGAGTCGCTATGAGGCGGACCTCTGGATCGGTCATGTGCTTCTGCCTTGGATTTTCCTCGTTAGATGGATGTTCTCTGAAGGGATCCTCGACGATGATATTAGTCTTGGGTATAGCGTCGATATCAGCTTGGAGAACTTTCTCCAAATCGGGTGTCTTTTGTGACCATAATCTAGCTCCTTCCATTTGGTGGAAGGCCGGGTAGTGAGTCTTGTCGATTTCGTCTCTGCGGTAAACGTCTGCCGTGATGAAATAACCGGGTGTCTCACAAACTTGGAAACATTCATGCTCGTGGGCAGAAGTATGAGTTCGTAAGAGGTTGTCTTTGTTCAAGTAGTAGGTGTCCAGCTTTGCTCTGCCAGGATGGTCCTTGGGGAAGTCAAGAACATCGAAGTTCTGAAAAGTCGTGACAGCAGGACGAAAATCGTTATAAAAGGTAAAACCCAATCCCTTGAACTTGTCTTCGATTAAATGACGAAGGATACCGATTGGGTGGTTGGGGTTTTGATGTAAACTTCTGTCTGTGAGCGCAAGAATCTGGGGTGGAACATTCGTCCACTCGTCGGACTTATAAGTATTTCCATGCAAGTGGATTTCCAGGGGTATATTTGATGTCCACCGACGTGCCACAATTGGAATTTTTTGCGGGATACCCAATTGGGACACCCTTTTGAGGCAAAGCATTCTGGTGATCAGGTTGTCGTTGGAGTGGAAAAAATGCGGGTGCGGTTTTATGTATGCAAGGCTATCCAGGATTGGTTACCAAGTCTCTTGAATGTATCGGCCAGAGTCCTCCATGTTATAGAGGTACTTGTCAGCTTCGGCTTCTTCAAGTCCCGATTTTTTCAAAATCTCGACGAGAGTGACTCTGACCTGGCGTGGCATGTTTCCACTGGAGCCACACACGAATACAATAGCATTCTCTTCAAGAATCAATTTTGCAACCGTTTGCTGCTCCACGAAAAGCCTGTCTTGGACGTATCTGATTTTTGATACTGGATCTCTCGAGAAGCACGGATACATGTGAAGCTGTCCCTTTGCTTCTAAATCCTCCCATAACTCCTGGAAGAGGTAATCTTTGGTCGAATACCGGCAACCGTAGAAGAGATGGAGCTCCCGCTTACCTGCTTCCTGCTCTATGAGTGACTTCATTGGGGCAACACCAGTGCCGGGCGAGATCATGACAACAGGGGGGTTTGGCTTGTCAGGAAGACTGAAGTTGAGATTGGATTTATGAATCGAAAAGACAACCGATTCTCCTTCTTGTAACTGCTTGATCCATTTGGTGCATAGTCCACGTCTGATTCTTCTGAGAATTGTTTTGTATTCAACGATGCCCGCAATAATCTCAACAGTGTCAGATGAAGATTTAGAGGCAATCAGGAAAAGCCTGACCTTGATGAGTGGGAACAAGTCAAGCACATACTCCAACGGAATTTTGAGATTCTTCTCGAACTCCATGATAGTCTCGAGAATCAGTCTTCTTGGACGATTCGCATAGTTGTAGAGATCTTCTGCCTCGGCCAACGTGCTGAACTCGTGAAGTTTTTCCTTTTCTCTTTCTCCCTCCTCAGTCAGTGTGTCCACAAAATGGTGCAAGAGAGCGAAGAAGGATCGCCTTGGAATCGACATAATATCCAAATGATATTTGATTAAATTCCTCAAAGTGAGTTGACTTTCATCAATGAAACCTCCTTCAACGTCTGGAGCAGCCTTGAAATCTAGTGGTTTATCAGCCAATGGAAGCCAGTGAGGCTGCAGCTCCAAGAGCAAATCCACGCTTCTGTCATCGTTAGGTGGATACAAAGCGAGAGTGTCACCAGGGATATAGGAAAGATTGTGAGCCTTATCCTCCACAACCACATGTCTCACATCTTGGAAATGGCCCTCTGCTGTTTTACGCTCGTTCTTTACGATAGTTCCCATAGATAACCCCTTGGCCTTTCTGCTTGTAGTCAAATCAGAGTCAGCCAGAATATTTGGGCCATCCCTAACTGTCAATCCGAAAACAGGGGGAAGAAGAACATGGTCGTCTATCGTAAAAATATTGGTGAACTCTTTCTGAAGGGCATCAATGACTGAGGTTTCCCATTCCGCGTAGTAACCATCAACGCCTTCAGGTGACTGTTCATCGCTCTCACATCTTGGGCAAAGCTCCTTACAACCAAGTTGCCGAAGTCTAATGTGGATCTTCTTGATCGCGTAGTTGAACTTTGGGTAAGACGAGTCACCGACTCCAAAAGTGGTGAACTTGATGTGATTTAGAAGATCGTCGGGTAGTTTCTTCTTCAACAAGAACTTAATGAACTTCTTTGCATTTCGAGGTACCTCGCCCTGGCCTGTGGTGGAGCATACAACAATAAGGTACTGAACATCAGTCACTAGACTCTTGAGTGGGAACGAATCAAGGGAGGATACGATGGGCTTCAAGGAGTTGTAACGTAACTTTTGAGCTAGGAAGTAGGCGTAGTCTTGTGCATTTCCAGACTCGCTGCCATATAAAATAGCCACACTATTGACTTGTGGGGCAGCAGTCATGAATGGTATTTCGGTTCATCACCTTAAGCCGCCTAGCGCTTCTGTAGCCCTGGAAGACCCTTACACCACCGTAACTCTTAAGCCCGTATACTCCTGTAATTTACGTTCAAAGACATTGTAAGAAACTTTTTGTTAACAGCTCTGTGAAAAGAACAGAAATTGATAGGAATTGAATTATAAAACTACACAACTACCACTGTATAGCTAAAATTCCAGATATCTCACGTGAAATCACGACAAAGAAGTCATTTTGACGTATTTGAGGAAAAGTTAGCTTGATGAGTAGAAAAATAATCAGTTTTTATCTAGAAGTAAATTACCTTGACTCCTGTAAAGGCTTCTTGATGCTATTTAGTGTCTTGATTTTGCAGCACCTGCATACATTGCGGCGGTCAAAATCAACAAATGCTCACCTACTACTACTACTATAAACCATGCCTCGGGTTAAGAGAGCCGCTGCTGGAGATCACGGCGCGCCTAAAAGACATAAAGGTCAGTCGGCTGAAGATTTTTTTAAATCTGTATTAGAAGAAATCGAAGGCTTACAGGACGATAATGGTGAACGTGCTTTGGTGACAGCTTTTGTCAAGCTTCCATCAAAGAAATTGTACCCGGACTACTACACGCTCATCGACGAACCTATCTCATTGAATGAAATCAACAAGAAGGTGGCAAGAGGCACCTATGAGAACGCTCAAGACTTTGTGCTGGACTTCAATCTTATGTATGAGAATGCGCTGAAATATAACGACCCAGAGTCATGGATTGTGGTGGATGCCAAGAAGCTCTTAGAGTACGTGACATCGCGTGCTGATCAGTTTACAGAGTCACTGAGCTCTATCACAGTTGCTGACTTGCCAAAGATTGCTGACGATATCTTGGAAGAAGTCATTGCCCATGAGTTTCCAGAAGATGGTGTGCTCAGCGGACCGTTCATGGAAGTTGTCGATTCTGACGAGTACCCTGACTACTACAAATTAATTGAGCAGCCCACTTCTTTCCTGGATGTCAAGAATCTGCTCACAAATGGCTTGTTTGACGAGGACAAGTCTCTTGAGGACAATTTGCAGGCATTCTACGACGCTACCGTGCTCATCTTCACCAATGCCCAAACTTTCAATGACCCATCTTCCTTGATTTACGAGGATGCACGTAAGTTGAGAGAGGTGTTTGAGGAGAAGTTCGACTCCTTGAAACAAGAAGCTATTCCTCAGTCAAAGCTCAAATTGAAGGTGAAAGCACCTAAGGAGCCAATGAAGCTCAAGTTGAACTTGAAGTCCGAAACTCCCCAACCACAAAAGAAAAAGAGAGGCAGAAAGTCAAAGAAGGTGCTTCAGGAAGAGGAAGATGCCCGCAGAGCAGCAGATGGTGACACTGGAATTAAGCAGGAGGATTCCGATACCGAAGAGGGTGAGGATGAGGATGAAGATGCCAAACACAAGCTTGATGCTACAGAGTCCAATGTCATGGGCAAGACCCCAATCACCCCTTCCAGTGACGAAGTGTTCATCAGAGGTGCAACCTTCTCCTCCTCGCATTCAGCCACACAACAGATTGCTACTTCCCTTGCTCAACAGGGACCAGCGCTTATCACACCAGCCCAGAACTACAAAAGAGACATGTTCCCCGATGTGTCCGTGTTGAACGCTGCCACTTTGTTTCAATACAAGTTCGGTCCTATCGGTTACTCCACCAAAGCATACACAATCAATCTACCTGCTGAGGCTTCTTCTTTCATTTCCCTCAAGGTCAGTTTACATGAGTTCATCTACAACTTGAAAAAGAAGGACCTCGTAGGTGGTCAAGGTATTCTTAAAGGAAACGCCGAGGAGGACTTCCTGGTTGCTCTCTTCATAAATGACGACAAGGTATCTGGCTGCGAAATATATGAGGAAGAGGACCCGCTTAATGATGCCAAGTCTCTTTTAGGCCTTCAATTCGAGTTGAAGTTGAGTTACGGCCTCAATATCATCAACTTTGAATTGCGCCTTTCACCCAACTTGGCTAAGAGTCTTCGTAAAGATGAACCTGAGCCAGAAAATGACCTAGGGTCTCGTCACACTAGACACCAACTACAGCAGATAAAACTCAACTGGGAGGTGGAAAAGTTCCAGCTCATGGTGAACTGCCACAACCCATAAAAGACGCCACCTTTGTATTATATCACCACACTATTTTCCAATACAGAAACTCAGAAATACGACGCCCAAAATCTCTTCAACACCGACAGCGTCTCCTGTAATTTTGCCAATACCCTCAGCAGATATTCTCAAGCTCTCCAACGCAAGAATGATGTCGTCTTCCTCTTTCCATCTTTTGAACTCTTCTAGACCGAATAGAACGTCGTTCTCAAGAAGGTCTTGAGTACGGCCCGTAAGAAGCACAGGCTCGGATGTGGTTACCAGTTTGAATCTATCGGTAAGTGCCTGTTGAAGTTCCTTCATGCCGATCCCTGTCTTGCAAGATACCACATGGAATGCCTCTTGTGGTAGACCGAGTTGCTTCGAAAATAACGATACACTGACCTTGTCAGTGAGGTCAGATTTGTTGAGAACGACCACTATCTCTTGCTTGGCATCCTTCAAGAGTTGTATGTTTTCCACCAAAGAATCTTCAATCGGCTCGTTCACAGGGACCACAGCCAAAACTATATCGCCAGCCAAAGCCCTCTTCTTAGCCCTTCTAATACCCTCTGCTTCTATAGAGTCAGCATCCTTCAATGACCTTATTCCAGCAGTGTCACCAACAACAACCTTATAGCCATTGATATCAAGCGGCACATCTATAACATCTCTGGTGGTTCCCGCAATATCGCTAACAATGGCTGTTTCTCGATTGGCTAGGTAGTTTAACAAAGACAGTTTGCCAGCGTTCACTGGCCCTAGAAGACTCACCTTGATCCCCTTGAGTAAAACATCAGACTGCTTAACCCTATGTAGGTAATCCTGGATTCGGGACTTGAGTACATCAATGTTGTGGTCCACCTGCTCAAACAAGTGTCTTGTTTCTTCGAGATCATGTTCTTCACCGAAGTCAACCACAGTGGTTAGAAGAGCGACGTTATTTACAATTTCTGTCCTCCAACCAGTGACAGTCTTCTTGGTATCACCTGTAAGCGAGGCCAAGGCAGCCTTCCTCTGTGTCTCGGTCTCTGCATCTATCATTTCTCTGATTCCTTCAATTTCTGTAAGATCGAACCTTCCATTCAAGAAAGCCCTATGTGAAAACTCGCCATTCTCGGCGTGTCGTATTTCGATGCCCTTTTCAGGACTATGTAGATTCTTGATGGACTCCAATACAGATTGAACAATAGCCGTACCGCCATGTACATGGAGCTCTAACAAATCCTCCCCAGTATAAGTTTTTGGTGCCTTGAAAAAGACCGTGAGTGCCTCATCTAGTAGCAGCTTTGTGCCTGGTTCATACAACTTGCGTACACTCGTCTTCTGAGGTAGAGGCTGTTTCTTGGTAACAGTAAGCTGATTGTAGATGTACAGCGAATGTGGACCCAGGACTCGGATAACTCCGATTGCTGCCCTCCCAGGCTTCGTGGATAATGCATATATGGTCGGACGGAACATAGTCCGTCGTGTTAGATGAAAAGCTGGGGTATATTGATCTTCGCATCTCTTCGCACCCATCACTAATCCACATCAACTCAGATTCAAAGAATACCATGATTGGAACAAAAACTACAAGGTTCATTCGGCCACAATTTATTTCAAGAAGCATTGCCCTGTCGCAGCCTTTGCGCCATGAAAACCCTCTTGGCCTTCCAAAAGATAAGAATGCTCCTCAGATGCCCCGGATGTCTAAGGGACTTCCGATAAAGCAAAGAATCCCGAACGTGAAAAGAACGATTTTAGTAGCCTCAGGCAAAGGAGGCGTTGGAAAGTCTACGGTGGCTGTGAATACCGCGTTGGGGCTCCAGAAGTTGGGCAAGAACACAGGCATACTTGATGTGGATATCTTCGGACCATCGATCCCCAAGTTGCTTAAGCTAGATGGCGAGCCTAGACTATCTGAACTGGGCAAATTACTTCCAATGACTAACTATGGCCTACCGTCCATGTCAATGGGCTACTTAGTGCCTCCTGAGAATGCAGTGGTATGGAGAGGCCTTATGGTGATGAAAGCACTACAACAATTGATGTTCGAGGTCGAGTGGCCAGCACTTGACTACTTGGTCATTGACATGCCTCCCGGAACCGGTGATACCCAATTGAGTGTTACACAGCAGTTGAAAGTCGACGGGGCTGTCATTGTATCGACTCCCCAGGACATAGCGCTTATAGACGCAGTGAAGGGTATGGCGATGTTCAACAAGGTCAATACACCTGTGCTTGGCTTGGTGCAAAATATGAGTTTCTTCTTGTGCCCCAATTGCAAACATGAATCCCATGTCTTTGGTACCGATGGTGCAGCCAGAGAAGCTGAAAAGAATGGACTAGATGTTTTAGCCGACATCCCACTCAACGAGATCATTTGCACACAATCAGACTCTGGTAAGCCAGTTGTTGTGCTGCACCCAAATGATGCTATCCTGGAGCCGTACGTGGATGTGGCTCGTAAGGTGATACAGAAGTTGGAGGGCGAGCATCTATAAAAAGACAAAAAAGAAAGTGAACACGATGATTGCAGTGGTCAGGGAGTATGCTGGCAGGTGCGATGCCATGTTTGAGAACACGTCGTAAATGTTGGCGGTCTTGGTCTTTTTGCGTTTGTCTCTGGTCGACTTGATGTACTCTGGAGTTCGAGGTGCAGCGGTGGCATAAGAGATCTGATCGACACCAATTGAGCCTCGTGAAGAGATTTTCAGATCTGCGGCCACACCTCTGGCAGGCGGTCGTCGTCTAGATGGAACAGCCTCGATTGTGGCTTCGTAAGACTGGACCTCCTCGTCTATCTGCGTTGTGGGTGTGGGGTACATACCAATTTCAGTTGCAGTGGACTTGTTTGGAGTTTCAGTTCGCTCCTGATCAGACGATTTTGTATTTTCCATCTCCATGTGGGATTTACCGCTTATGGATCCCCCATCATCAATATCGACGGTCGGTCCCGTCAGGGCCGATACCTCCGTTACCAAAGAGGTCTCAATCGAACTTAATTCGGAATCGGTAGTTATTTCAGGATCCAAATCCACCGCCACAGATGAAGTACCTTGTGTATGGGTCCTCGCATAATCACCATACCAAGCTGTCTTGGGTTTCCCATACGCTCTTCCAACCACCACAGGCGCCTTATCGTGATGTCTGAATTGCGGCAAGATCTCGATTTTATTCGAGCTCTTGTGATTGATGAGTTGCTTCTTTCTTCCGCCCCTCGGCTGCTCTTGAAGGATAGTTGAATCGTGAGTTTCCGTTGCGATCGACTCCACGTCTTGCGTCGGTGACATATTCAACTTATCAGCGTCACTTTCTGCCGCCCATGCTGATGCTGCTGTTGTGAAAGCAGGATAGTCTAGTCCAACCTCTGAGCTCAATTGCACTGACTCTGTTTCAGCAGAGCTTTGTTGTTCTGAACTGGCACTGACTGTGGCATGTTTTGCTTCCATTGATAAAGATTCTAAATGCTTTTGTAAGAGGCTCTGGAAGATCTCCTCGAGCAAGGATGGTTCAGTTGGCTCTGGTGTAGTCACTGAGGTGACCGTCACAGTTGCAGTCTCGGTTCTCGAAACAGGCGGCAATTCTCCGACCGGTAGTATCGAAAAGATTTGGTCAACATCGTTCGTAATTGACGGTACCGCTTTGTCTTGCGTTGGCGTATTGGAAAGAACTTGTCTTAGTAGAGCAAGGTGGGTTTCGTTTTTTGCACCCAAAACGCCCCGGAACAATCGGAGATGTTCCTGGAATCGTTCTAAGGCCTCATTGGAGTTCACTGCTACTGATATGGGTAACAAACATATCGGGAGGAAGCAACGGATAAGAAGCATGGTTATTGTACAATGGCTGCAAACCAGACATGGTTGTGAAACGCGTAATCTACGACTTTACCGGAAAAGTATCTCAACGAGTTTTCAAAGGGCGTTCAATAAGCTAGAGAACAAATGTCCAATTGTCCACCGATTAATTGCCATTCTTGGTACAATGGCGTGCCGAATGCTGTGAGATCATTATCTGAGGAGGCTTATTTGGCCGACTAATCGTCCTACAGAAGTCCGTTGTCGATCCAGAAAAATAGACCAGAACCGTGTTTTTCTTTGTCTTAAATAAACGGTTGTGTCAAATTAGAACGCCTTTGTGGTCAAACCCAACAAATCGTTCGCTGTTCTGGCTTGGCGGAGCTGGACCGAGGAACAACTCCGAGAAGACAGTATATAAAGCGGGTATCTCCCACAAAGCCTACATAGCCCGCCGATTTGACAGCAGCGGTACTCCACAGAAAAAACAACGCCACGGATCAAACACATTTATTTTACTAGGATAGCAACAATACATTTTTCCATCCACTAGCAAATCATCAATTGCCATATCGCTGACCCACGCATCGCATCGCACAATAAACAGGCCCAAACAAACATCATCTATTTCCTAGGATGTCTGTTCCAGTGATACCCACGACACCCATAGCCCGCAAGAGGCTCGTCAATGCGTCATTTGATAACTATAACGAAGAAGAGGACCCTACTTTTGTGGATGAGCCCACCGAGGTGAGCGATTCTGAGGACCTGATTTCAGTGATCAGCAACGTGCTGCTAAGCGACGATGACTCCGTTGAAACCAAAGGCGGCAACGGCGATATCAAGAACCTTTCCACTCCAGCTCAAAAGGAAACCTGGAAAGAATGGGCCATCAGACACGAAGTGCCCCGGAAGTTGTTGCACCTGCTGATCGGGCCATTCTCGCTCTGGCTCTACACGCTTGGTGCCACCATGAACCAGATTCTCTGGCCTTTGGTTTTCTTGACGGCCGTTCTTTTCATCAATGACTATGTTCGTCTCCACAACCCTGAGGTCAACAAGGTGATGACTCGCGTGTTTGGTCTTATCCTGAGACAAAGCGAGATCAACGGTTACAACGGCACGCTTTTCTACGCCTTGGGCGTGCTGCTTGTTTTCACGTCTGCTCCCAAAGACATTGCCGTTATGGCTGTTCTCTTGTTGAGTTGGGCTGACACCGCTGCTCTGACTGTCGGACGCCTTTGGGGCAAATACACCCCCAAAGTTATGCCTGGCAAGTCATTGGCTGGATGCTTGGCCAGTTTTGCTACCGGTGTTTTCCTGTGCTACTTGTTCTACGGATACTTCTGTGTGGCATATGCACACGTTAACAAGCCAGGCATGATTTTTTGGACAGAAGAGACCTCCAAAATGAGCTTGCATGTGTACGCCATCGCCACCGGTTTGGCTGCATCGATCCTGGAGGCATCAGATATCGGCGGCATCGACGACAATTTCATCATCCCCGTCATGAGTGCAATTCTCTTGTACGTGCTTGTCTGGGCAACCCACCTTTAGATGCTTCGCTGTCGCTTAGCAATTTCTAGATAAGCTCGGCCCCCCTGAGAATAGAGTGTGATTGCCCTGGCCGGACCATTTTGTGTTCTCAATCTTTCCGCATCCGATCACCGAGAGGCCGAGTTTCCACCACTTTCGCCGCAATCACCGAGACCTTCGCGAAGTGGCAACAGCAAAGGCAACTTAGGGCTGGGGAGAAAAAACCCCTGGCAAGCCCAGCATTAATTACTAATCCCACTAGTCATGCTTTTTTTCTTTATTTGCGTACAACTTTCCCAAACCTTCTTATTATCTTAAACTTATCATTCAATTTTTCCCTTCATGGCCTCGTGACTTGGCTCTCTAACTATTTAACGCCCTCCCCAGCCGTTTACTCGGTTGGCTGCAACTTTTTCCACTGTCTTAGGCTGCGTGCACTCTTTCAACCGTACTGGTATACTCCGTGCATATCCGCACCTCCGCTTCTTCTCCGTGCAACTACTTAAGCAGACTGATTCCGTTTCTCCTGATTCAGCATTAATATGGAACAACCCCGACAGAAGCGGCTTTTGACGCCCTTCCTATCCAAAAAGGTTCCGCCCATTCCTTACGAAGATGAGCGTATCGTTTATCCAAAGAGACCAAACTTTATCTCAGCAGTCTTCTTCTGGTGGCTACACCCGGTGATGAGCACTGGGTACAAGCGTACTTTGCAAACTCAAGATTTGTACAGACTTAATGACGAGAATGAAGTGGCTGCTATGACCGCTCGCTTCGAAGGTATTTTCGAACGCCGCCTTAGTAATAGTCGCAGAAAGCACATCGCAGCCAAGTGCAAGGCCAGAGGTGAGACACCAGAAACGAGCTCTGTACCAGCAGAAGAGGATCTTGCTGACCATCAGCCTCCCAAAATGCTCTGTGCTTGGGCAATTCTTGAGACTTTCAAGTGGCAATACGGTCTTGCATGCTTGTACAATACCTTGGCCAATACCGCCTCTGTGACGAATCCTTTGCTTTCCAAACGTCTTATCCAGTTTGTCGAAAAACACGCATTAGGCCTTGATACCCAGGTTGGTAAGGGTGTTGGTTACGCGTTGGGTGCATCCTTCATGGTGCTTCTTATCGGTATCTTGATCAACCATGGCTTCCAGAATGCCATGCTCACAGGCGCCCAGGTGAAGGGTGTGTTAACAAAAGCATTCCTTGACAAGTCTTTCCGTTTGAGTGACCGTGCCAGACACGATTACCCCGGTTCAAAAATTACATCCATGATGGGCACGGATTTGGCCCGTATTGATTTCGCATTGGGCTTTCAGCCTTTCCTCGTTTCGTTTCCCGTTCCTACTGCAGTTGCCATTGGTATTTTAATCTGGAATATTGGAGCTCCCGCTTTGGTGGGTATCGGCCTTGTGTTTGTCTTTTTGTTTGCCATCATGGTGTTGACTGGTAAGCTTTTCCAGTACAGAAAGAAGGCCAACAAGTACACCGATGCCAGAATCAATTACATCAAGGAAGTGCTCAACAACCTCAAAATCATAAAATTCTACTCATGGGAAGAGCCTTACAATGATGTTATTGGTGAAAACCGTTCCAAGGAAATGAATATAATCTACAAAATGCAGGTTGGCAGAAACATTATCCTTTCACTGGCAATGTGTCTCACATTATTTGCATCCATGGCATCTTTCTTGGTGTTATATGCCACTGCCGGCTCCACTAAGGATCCCGCCAGTTTGTTCTCATCCATCTCATTGTTCAACTCCTTGGCCCAGCAAGTTATCATGTTACCACTTGCGTTGGCCACTGGCTCTGATGCCCTTGTCGGTATCTTTAGAGCCGCCCAGTTCTTGTCCGCCGAAGAAGTTGATGCAAATGCTACTGCTATCTATGCCCCACCAGATGTTCAGGATGAAATGGACTACCAGAACCTCGCAATTTCTTTGAAAGGGGCTTGTTTTGAGTGGGAGACATTTGATCAAAATGATGATGACGAAGAGGAGAATGATGAGAAGAACCCCGAATCCAAAAAAGATTCGAAAAATGAAAAGGGCACGATCGAGGAACTACAGGCGGATAACAAGCTGTCGCTGTCAACTAATACTGCAAAGGAGTCTGAAGTCGAGCCCAAACTTACCACATATTCCACTGGTGACTCCACTATGGAAGCCACTATTTTTTCGGGTTTGAGCAACATCAATCTTGATGTTCAGAAGAATGAGTTTATCGTCATTACCGGACTTATCGGCTCAGGAAAAACTTCCTTGTTGAATGCTCTTGCTGGCTTCATGAAACGTGTTAGCGGTTCTGTTGATGTGAACGGAAGTCTTTTGCTTTGTGAAACTCCATGGATCCAGAACGCTACCGTCAGAGAGAACATTTTGTTCGGTGAGGAGTTTGATCAAGAGAAATATGACTCAATCCTTTTTGCATGCTCTCTCGAGAGTGACTTAGAAATCTTGCCTGCTGGTGATAAAACTGAAATTGGTGAAAGAGGTATCAACTTGTCTGGAGGGCAGAAGGCGAGAATCAATTTGGCTAGAGCTGTTTATGCGAACAGGGACATCGTTCTTTTGGATGATGTTTTGAGTGCTGTGGATGCTCGTGTCGGTAAGCACATTATGAACAACTGTATTTTGGGGCTATTGAAGGACAAGACAAGAATCTTGGCCACTCACCAGTTGTCTTTGATTGGCGCTGCTGACCGTGTGGTCTTTCTCAATGGAGATGGTACCGTAGATATTGGTACTTTCGACGAATTAAAGAAGTCTAATCCAGGTTTTGACCACTTAATGAAGTTCAGTTCTGAATCGGCCGAGGAAGAAGAGGAAGAAACACTGCCAGAGGAGGCGCTTGGTGAGGATCCTGAAGTGGAGGATCGCGAGATGATTCAACGTCAACTTTCTCAAAAGCAGAGTACCGTCCCAGACGAGGAAGCAGAACGTCACAACTACAATGTTAATGAACAACAAGATGGTCGTCTCATGTCTCAAGAAGGACGTGCTGTCAATCGAATCAAGGGAGTCGTCTACAAGAATTATGTCAAGTATGGTTCAGGTGTTTTTAAGCTATACTCGGGTGTGCCCATCGTCATCACCTTGACTATCTTTGCCATTTTCTGTCAATTGTTCACGAATACCTGGTTGACTTTCTGGTCAGAGTTCAAATTCGACGGAAAAGACAACGGTTTTTACATCGGATTTTACGTCATGTTTACTGTGCTCGCCTTCATCTTCTTGTCTTCAGAGTTTGTTATCGTGGCCTACATGACTAACGAGGCTGCAAAGGTCTTGAACTTAAAGGCAGTTAGCAGAGTTTTGCGTGCCCCAATGTCGTTCATGGACACAACCCCCATGGGAAGAATTCTCAACAGATTCACGAAGGACACGGATACATTGGACAACGAAATTGGAAACCAGATTAGAATGTTGATCTACTTCTTGTCAAACATCGTTGGTGTCATTATCTTGTGTGTGGTCTATCTTCCATGGTTTGCTATCGCCATTCCGTTTTTGGGAATGATATTCGTTTCCGTTGCTAACTTCTATCAAGCATCTGCCAGAGAGATAAAGAGACTTGAAGCTACGCAAAGATCGTTTGTTTACAACAACTTCAATGAAACTCTCAGTGGAATGAACACCATTAAGGCTTATAATGCTCAGGAGCGTTTTAAGAAGAAAAACTCGACTTTCATCGATAACATGAACGAGGCATATTACTTGACTATTGCGAATCAGCGTTGGTTGGCGATTCATTTGGACATCATCGCCATGTTGTTTGCGATTATCATCTGTTTCCTCTGTATTTTCAGAGTTTTTGACATTGGCGCTGCTGCGACAGGTTTATTATTATCCTATGTCTTGCAAATTGCTGGTCAATTATCTATGTTGGTGAGAACTTATACCCAAGTGGAGAATGAGATGAACGCCGTTGAGCGAATCTGTGAATATGCATTCCACTTGGAACAGGAAGCGCCCTACACTTTCGAGAACTCTAATCTTCCAGCTACATGGCCTGAACAGGGAAGCATCAGTTTTGTCAACGCGTCGTTGGCATACAGACCAGGCTTGCCCAACGTGTTGAAGTCCCTCAACATGGACATCAAGCCCCTCGAAAAGATTGGAATCTGTGGAAGAACTGGTGCCGGAAAATCGTCCATCATGACAGCGTTGTACAGATTGTCAGAGTTGAATGAGGGTATGATTGAGATTGATGGCGTTGACATCAGCAAACTTGGTCTTCGTGACTTAAGATCCAAGCTCTCCATTATTCCACAGGATCCTGTGCTTTTCAGAGGTTCTATTCGTAAGAACTTGGATCCGTTCGGTGCAAGTCCAGACGATGATTTGTGGGATGCTATGAGAAGAGCCGGTCTCATTGAAAGCTCCAAGCTCTCCACAATCAAGAACCAGACGAAAAGCAGCGATAATCTTTTCAAATTCCATTTGGACAGAGAAGTTGAGGACAACGGATCTAATTTCTCTTTGGGTGAAAGGCAGCTTATTTCATTCGCTAGAGCATTGGTCAGAGGTTCCAAGATTTTGATCTTGGATGAGGCCACCTCGTCAGTCGACTATGAGACTGACAGCAAAATTCAGGAAACTATCCAGAGGGAGTTCACTGATTGCACAATCTTGTGCATTGCTCACAGATTGAAGACGATCGTGAACTACGATAGAATTTTGGTATTGGACAAGGGTGAGATCAAGGAGTTCGACACCCCTTGGAACTTATTCAACCTGAAGCATAGCATCTTCCAACAGATGTGTGAAAAGTCCAGCATTACGAAAGATGATTTTGCCCACAAAGGCTAATTCATCTCAGCATCATTACATCAATACTAGAAGATATAAAAGGATAGAATGTATTGATTTCTATAACGTTTAATAATACAAGATAGTCTTAAGTCCAACTATTTCATTTTCTTCTTATAGTCCGCGAATGAGAGCTTCTTCACTACCGCGGGCGCTTTCGTAACGGTTTCGACACTTTCATCAGAGCGAGTCGGAAGAGTATCAACCGGCAAATTCTCCTTCTCTTGTCCTCCGTTGCTTTCTTTTCTATCGTTCGTGGTGTCCACAGCAATCTTCACATCACTAGTGATCCTGGCTAATGGTTTTAATGTCTCGTTAACAGTATCTCTGATCAGAGAAAGTATCTCTGGGACAATTGGGATTGCCACAGTCCTTGGCCTCTCGTTAGTTGAATTGTCAGCGATGTTCTGGTCTTGAGCGGGTGCAGATATAGATGTACTTCCCGCAAAAACCTGACCTCGAGAAATGAGTTGCTTCTTGAAAGGAACACGGAAGAATGAAGATTTGTCCTTGACGTAGGTTTCAGTGTTTCCTTCACCAGCCTGATATCCACCTGGAGTGGTCGATCCGTCAGCAACACGTTCCTCGTCACTGACGACATCGCTGGACTCATCTGACGGGGTGATGGAGAAAAGCGCTGTGTGTAACTTTCCATCCCTCTCAACAAGTCTCTCTTTCCACGATACAAACTCCCTCGCTTGTTGAGGCATCATCAAGACCTCCTTGGATTTGCTCAATGATGCGCTTGACAAGCCTGTAGCTTTCCTCGTCGATCTCAGCAAATAGGAAGTTGCTTTCTTGATCTTAAAGATGGCGCACTGTGATGTCGATGGAGCAGTATTACAACCACATTCTGTGAAGTTTAAGATCGCATCCACACAAGAAATCAAAAGGAACTTCAGATCTTCGTCGAAATCCTCAAACTTCTTGCAGTCCTTGACATCAGCTGAGTCATTTGGAGGGTACATCTGTTTGATAGGATGAAGTGGGTCCCATTCCCAAGAAATTCGTAACTCTTCCTCCATTGCTTCACCTTTGAGTAAAATAGGCTTAGTTGTGACGACAACAAACTTAAAACTTCTTGTCTGAGGAACATAGATAGGCTTTATCTCGCAATTAGCGGCCGATGGGCATGACTTCCTAATGAAACGAGACTCGTTTCCAACAAATCGGGCATCTAAAACAACGGACACAGGAGGTTGGTTCTGGAAAAGAGTCAAAGGCACAACTGCAACCCTAGGCTTCACGGTTCCCCAAACAGAATACTGATTGGCCTGATTTGCCTTGTACAGATCGAAAAAGTCGACTTCACCCAAATACTCAATCACAGATGTTCCAGCAGGGATGGTAGAGTCCACGCCTGGAGTAGCAGCTCGCTCAGTTATATAGAGACCAACTTTTTGCACGCCATTGAATTTGTGCTTTGGGTTCTCACTATACGGCTTCACCTGAATTGAGGTCTTGTTATACCCCTTCGATTTGCGCAATTCATTTCTTTCTTGCAAATACTTTTGATGAATGGGTAGAACGATCTTGCTAAACTTCGTAGTCTTGTAAAGTGCCAATGGAACTGTCTCGATCGCCAGCGATCTCTGAGAGCTATTTTCAAATTCCGCACCTAACGCCTCCAATTTTTGTCTCACGACAGGAGTCTTGTAATCATTGTCTTTGAGTTTATAGTAAACGCTTTGATAAGTCTCTGCAGTAACGCCATCCTCAAGCAACTCATTATTCTTCAATGGAACATCCAGAACACCAGGTGATGCAGGAGTAGTATTTGCTGCCGCCAAATTGCCAGACAGCTTCCGCTTGGTATTTCCAGGACGTGCGTCATTCTGGGAAGTTGTGGTGGGTTTGGTGTCTCTTTCTGTTTTCCTCTTCTTTTTGTCTTCTTCCTTTCCAGTTGAGGCTTTACGTTTGCCCGGAAGTGTCTTCGACAGTTCAGGCGCTCTCTCTAGTTCAAGTCGAGCTAAAGTGTCCTTGCGACAAGTGTCTGGGTTGAACTTATTCCATTTCCGCTCGTCGCAGTAGTAACATTTGTATTCGTCTTCGGGAACCTCTTCATTTGTTCTGTAGCCCATGCAAGAGCAATGTTGCCAGCGGAAGCAGATATCGCACTGAATCGTGAATCCATCATCTTCTTCGATCCCGCAAATGCAACCTATGATTCCTGAATCAGGGTCGACTTTGTAAAGGTGAAGTGGAGGAGGTCTATAATTGGCAGTGGTTGATTTTTCCTCTTCTGTCTGTTCTTCATGCGGGTTCTCTTTCAAATTAACCTTTTCAGGAGTCCCATCATTAAGTGCAAGTGGTTTTGGGGGCTCCTGTTGAGGTGAAGGCGGTGTAAGGGGTCTTTTTTCTTTTGGCTTTGATTGAAGCGGGGGAAATGATGCCAAAGCACCCGTTCTAGGGGTATTCTCTGGAATCGTTTCATCGTCTGTTTTGTTATCATCCTCGGGCTCGGTCAAATCCTCCTTTTGTTGGCTCTGTTTATTGTCGGGCTTCTCATCCTTTCGTTTGAGAGGGAGTGGAATGTCTGCTGCAGCACTCAAAGCAGCTGCGGCTATCACAGCATTATCGACATTTCTTTGGCCTGTCTCGACATTTATGCCTCTGGACAAGGGGACTTTCGTTCCTCCGGGAGAAGTTGCAAATCCGCCCGAGGTAGACCGTCTATGTGTTTGGAAGTTGCCCTGGGCAGGTAGATTCTGTGGTGATTTCATCTGTTCACTTCTTGGACTCTGCACTGGTTCCTCCTTTGGCTCCTGCTTCACCTCTTCCTTGCGATATTGGTGAATAGGAGCGATAGGTGGAATTTTGTTTTCCTGTAAGTGAGGTGACTGATTAAGCAGTGGAAGCTGTTGAGGCGGCAGCTGAGCATATGGGCTGCCTTGGTACGAATACGGGAAGTATCCTCGACTAGGAAGAGTCGGCGGTAGCGATCCGCTGGCAGGCTGCACATGTGGCTGAGAACCAATAGGAGCATTCCATGAAGCGTGTCTTAGTTGCGGTGGAGAACGATCTGTTCGCAGTTCTGGAGACCTCTGTGGAGCTGAAGACGGTTGAGTAGGTTTCAGCCCAGGAGAGTTCTGCGAAATAGACGGAGATTCAGCATGTATCAGAGCTGGCAGATTCTTCATGGTTGCTGATTTACTAGATCCACCGCTCTGTGGCTGGCCTGGGGCACTGTGGGTTTCTTGAGGAGATGATGTTTTGTGTTCGTTGGGGGAATCACCAGGCAGACCCAGGCCCTGGCGGGCCACGTTGGCGAACATGAGGAGCGTGGAGGCATCCTGAAGAAGCTGCTCCTTCTCTTTTTCCTTGTTCATGAGGAAGAGTCTGGTAAAGAAAGTGGTGTTTCGAGTATACGAGGTTTAGGATATAGGCAAGCTATGCTATGCGACTTGACGCTTGAGGTCACGTGCACAACACACATATACGACACATTTTTCGTATCCTCTTTTAGAAACATACAAGTAAGGCCAGCATTTTCAAAACCTAAAGTTTTATCGACTCATGTTTCCCACTGAGATGGAGTGACTTCGCTCGCTTAGCTCTTGTCAACGCTCGTACGGCGCTATACTCTTCGCGAAGACTTCTGGATACGAGCTCCGAGCACTATTTATGGATACATCGTTCGTGTGACACATTTTCTAACGGTAAATAAAAATTCATAGAATTTGAAAGTGGATTGGTTGACTTATTATGAAGAGTTGGAAATCTGGCGCCATTTATTTATTGCATAATCTGCTGTCTAAAAGCAGGTACCGGTCTTGGAGGGGAGTGAGCGAAGCATGATGCATCTATGTATTCATTATGGCGCAGCCGTTCCATTCATTTTGCTATTTTTGTGTATGTATCAAATACCCGGCGTAGACATCGCGTAGACAGCTAAAGCGATGGCAAGTACATTGTTTTGACGTATTTTTGCTTCTTCTTACGATTTATTCGCTGTATAAGCGCATATTGGGAGTATGCTGCAAATCCTAGAAACATAACATAGAATACCCCATCAAGAAATACCGGAACCACGGTAAATTTACCTTAAACTTCGACATTTTCAATTTCTTTAACCGTCAAATAACTTGAAAACACTACAAAATAAAAAAGAATAAAAAACGTAGAAAACACATATGTGTATAGTATTCAAAGACAACGCTTTGAAGCTCGACTCCATCGTACTTCTATGAAATACCCAAGTTTTTATTATTCTCGGATTCCAAGGTAAAATGGTCTAAAACTTCAGCTTGATAGTCCATTCAATCTAATGAGTCAGCTTACGTCCCACCAGTTGCCGCCGGAGCCTACATCCATGTCATCGAAAGGCTCACAAGCCCTGTTTATCATTGTTATTTACAGACCCATTATGCTAGAAATACGAAAACATCCGCCATGCTCACAGCGCCTCCTCCTTGCCCTCCTTGGCCTCCCTCATCTTTTGTAGATACTCTAGCTCCTTACGCAAAGTATCTGACGCATAGTACACCTTCGACTGAAGGAAAAATGAGTTACCCTTCTCCTTGGAGTTCACATCAAAAAGGTACTCATACTTCTTTTCGATCTCTTCAAGAGAAAGCTCCTCCTTCTCGATATCCAAAATCTTCATGGCCTCTTCGATGGGGATTCCACCTGTGGATTTTGCCTTAGTGGCACCAGTAGCGGCAGCAGAGGCACTAGCCTTAGCAGCTTGCTTGTATGCTTCCGTGAAGGCACGCCCGAATACCGAGGCACCTGTGAAAATGACGTTGACGAGTAACCTGTGGGCCATTTGGGATAGGTAGGTGGAGAAATCTTTGACCGAGAAATTGTAAACCAAGAGGCGAAGAAAATCACGTGACCAGATTTCAACCGGATTGGTTTTAACGGTTTTTGAATGGATATTCGGCAAATTCAATAGTGTGGGGTTTTTACGGGAAGAGGAGATTATCTGGACTTAAAGTGAGTCGTAATACTGGGAAGCTCAACTTTGAGAGGATGTTGAAAAATGTAGCACCAGGCTTTGATCTGACGGAACTGTCAACGACATGGTCGTTGCATCTGCCAGAGCTTAATAAAACCTTAGAATGCGTAGCTCTAAAAGACCGAAACGGAGTGTTGATTGTGACCCATTTGTTAGGTGGGTCAACCAACACTTAGCTGAACGTGAAGCCCCGGTCACGCTATCGCTAACGCGGCGTAGTTCGGGCAACACTGGGGTCTCTATAGTAGTGTGCCGTAGCACGAAGTTATACTTGTATTAGAGTAGTATAACCACTACTGATGGTTACTTTTCAAAATCTAGGTGGCAGGTGCGATGGGTCTTATATAGTGCGAAAGATTTTATGGTCGGGTAACCCCGCGAGCAGGCTGCATCGTCTGTGCCAGGTCTGGCTTGTCCATCTTTGAATTGTCAGATTTGGAATTCATTCAAAGTTTAAAGATGAATTGATGATTATTGCGATTTGCCGTTTTCAAATCGCTAGGACTCTGCCATGACTGCTGACAGACACTTCTGAGCTAGATTTTCACATTGACAGTAGAAAGCTGGGTTCTCTTTTTTACAATACCTTCCACGGTCTTGTAGTTGATTCACTTCAGAGGCTGGTGAAAAAAATAAACAGGGTTTCCTTTTTCACGTAGTTTCCCATGGTGATGTGTCTTAAGAGGATTCAGCTTGGCTGCGAAATAGCATGCAACCACGGTTCATCCGAGGCCAGAACGATGGGGCATCATAGATAAATATGTCCTTGATGTAGGATCACATTAATCTTTTTCTATTCATAACGGTCGACGAGAATTCGTCATGTCGATGTGGTTTCAAGTCAGTGGCTAACGCCCCCCTCACTACGTAGAGCCGTCGAGCAAAGAATCTGAATAAGTGATTTCAAATCGTCAAGCATACGTGTGGTGCTTTCCATAGTAAGCGTCAACAAATTTGATTTAACCTGTTATAAGTGACTTTTCGTGAATTCGGTCCTTGATCCAACTTCCACATCTGCACACCACGATGCTCATCGGACACCAACAGGCTCTTCATGTCCTCAACCAGTATCACCAAGCTTGAGGGACTATTAGCGTGGCTCGAGGACAATGCATTCTGGAACTCTGACTTGGTGGATGTGGAAAAGTCTCTGATAGGAGGGACAGGCGTGTTCTGGAAATTGAAGGACCAGCCTGATCCAAGTGGTGATGCCTTGATACTACGGATTCCAAAGTCGTCTATATTATCCCCCAAGAATTCATTTCTTTGCAATCTTCTCATGGACTATGAGCCCTCAGATGCAACCATAGATTTGACCCAGGGCATGCATGCTATAGTGTTGACCTTTTTGTATGAACATTCATTGGGTGAAAGGTCTCCATGGTTCCCCTACCTCGATACATTCGAAATAGACGAGGGAGACGATTATCTTCCATTGTGCTTATGGGATAAAGAGAGCAAAGGAGCTTTGTTTAATTCAGAATGTGATATGTTGAATATGCTCGATTCCTCAGAGCTCATCCAGTTCTATCTAGAGTGTGTCAATTTTGCAAAGACCAACAGCTCTGTTGTGGCGATCCCACCCACCTTACGCATTGAAGGCCAGGAAGTCGATGAGAATACTGCTGAACTTCGATACTTTGCTAAATGCGTCCAGGCTGTGATTTCCAGAGCTTTCACCGTGGACAAGTTCCATGGACTTTCGTTAGTTCCAGGCGCAGACCTTTTCAACCACATGCTGCCAATAAAAGAGGAAGATTCGGTAGTTCCCCGAGAAAATGTGCATTTCCTTTGCGATGATGACGAGGACTTGTGTGATCGCTGTGGAGAAGTTGGCTGTGAACACGAAGAGAGTGATGACGAGGAGGAGGATGTGCTCGAAGAGGAGGATGCAGAATTTGACAGCGATGGTAATATTGTTCAAGACGATAACGACGCTGACATGCATCCTGGCGACGACGTTTCGGACTTGATGGAGGATATACCACTCTCATCGGACTCCGAGTCAGAGGAAGAGCCCATGAGTGAAACTGAGAGCATTGAGGAGGAGGAAGAGGTGAATGAATCCGAGGAGATCCAGACCCTTCTGATGGAAGATATAGACAGACTAGAAAACTCCGACGCAGACACCGATCAAGAGGAAGAGGAGGTATCAACACTTTCACTCAGTGAAGACGAAGATGAGGACAACACTAATACAGCACAAACGCTGCCAGAGATTGAGAATAATGATTCCAAAGTGGAATTGGCGAAAGAGCTTTCAGAAAGCTCAAAGTGCTGCGATATTGTCCTCACTGCACTTCCATCTAAAGAACACAACTTTGAGCTTTTCAACACCTATGGCAACGAGCTTAGCAATCCTTTCCTTCTCCAGCGCTACGGTTTCATTAGCAAGGGGAACCCAAATGCAAGCTGCCTTTTGTCGGTGCAAATGTTTGCCTACTTGAAAAAGCTGAAGGCCAATAAGCGGATCAAGGCGCAAATGGACATGAAGCTTGACTGGTACGAAAATGGTGGATTTGACATGGTGAATGATCTCTGTGGAGACTGCCAAGATGACGATTGTAACGACTGCAACGACCAGGGTAAGTGTAACGACGATCACTGCGAGGATTCAGCCTGCAAAGAAAATGAAGGCAATTGCGAAGACAGCTGCTGTGGAGATGATAACGGAAAGAAAAGATGTGAATCACAGGAAGCTCCAGAGTCATGGCAACTTCTGCCAAAGATCGACCGCTCAGGATGCCCTACCAAACAGACCACGGCACTTTTGCACCTTTTCACCATGCCTTTCAAAATATTCTACCACAAGCTTGGCCAGGCTCCAAGTGAGCGAAGCATGGCTAGAAGAATTACAAAATATTTGTTGGAACCCGAACTCTCCAAGACAGAAAAGACCATACTCAAAGGATGGGTGGAGGGTCGGTTGCAACGGTACAGGGCAACCGAGGCATCGGGACCCCGTGCCGAGACCATCGCATACATGTTGAGCGAAGAGAAAACACTCTTGAACAAAGCTCTCCAATTATTAGAATAACGAAATATACATTTCAGAATTTGAATTTTGCCGTAAAAATAATATGGATCAGGCGCTGTCTTATCGGAGCCGGCTCGTGGCGTCATACAGGCAGCTGCGAAATGACAGTATCTCGAAACTACGCCTTGTACAAATAACCAAAAAATCCGTCTTTTACTTTTCAATATCATAAAAGGGCCGTCTCCATGCCTCATTCAGATACTGAGTCCACAGGGTCGGAGATCAGCTTCGACTACGAAGATGACGACAATCTGGTGATCCTGTTTGAGGAAGCCTACAGTGACGATGCTTCTCAAGGCACCCAGGAGGATTATCCACAAGATGAGCCGCAAAACCTTACTCTGCGTCTGAAGCCTTCGCCAAACTACCTTACGCTGTGCCATTACAGGCCAATGAAGCTCAGCTGGTACATCATGGAAAGGATGATAATACCTGCTCGGAAGCTCACGAATACCTTGATTCTCGGACACTCTTTGGACGAGATATTGGTGATGTTGCACTATAAGAAGTGGCTGGTTGACGAGCTAACAAGCGACTTTTACGATGACCTGGACAGACTACGAGAGAAGTGTGGTCTCTGCCGAGAACTGAACATGACATATCCCATCACCAAGCATGAAGACTACATGTGCTACATTTGCTGTGAGTCAGGACCAATGGAGACATTCAGCTTATCTTGTGGGCATGAGTTTTGCGTTCAGTGCTATGGCCAGTATCTAGATGGGATCATCAAGAAGGGAGAACTCGCTCAGTGCATGGATCCTCAGTGCAAGATGGTCTTGTATCATTCTGATGTGGAGAAACTCTTACAGTTCGTTCCACCCGAGGAAGAGGTGCCCATGGAAAAGCTAGACATTGACTCTGATAGCAGCGATGAGGAGGAAAATGCCGACAACAATGTGGCCGATTTCAACAATTACGAGGTGAATCTTGCCACTGAATACGACCTTCATTTCAATAATGTTGAGTTTAAGAATGAGTCATGGCCCAATGAATCCAGTGAGCCACTTCTCCGAAATGCGCTTCTCCAAGCAGCGGCAAAGCTGGCACTCGAAGCATCAAGAAAACGGTATAAATGGTGCCCGGCCGTGGACTGCGATGGTTTTGTTGAACTTTCTGGCGATACCAGACCTTACGATTATGATCACAGAAAGAATGAGCTTTTGAAACACACGCCCATAGTGCGCTGCCCATCCTCGCATGAATTCTGCTTCGACTGCCAATACGAAAATCATCTCCCTTGCTCCTGTGTTACGGCTGCAAAATGGGTGAAAAGGTGTCAGGATGACTCCGAAACTGTTAATTGGATAGAGGCCAACACCCAAAACTGTCCTCGTTGTGCTTCGCTGATTGAGAAAAATGGTGGCTGCAACCACATGGTCTGCCAACACTGCAACTTCAAGTTTTGTTGGATTTGTTTGCACGATTGGAATCAGCATACGCAAGCACATTGGTCATGTAACAGGTTCCACGAAAGAAAAGAAGTCGATACTGGTGGCAAGGCAGAGAGGCAGAATGCTCTCAACCGTTATCTTCATTACTACAAGCGTTTTGCGGTGCATCAGCGCTCCATGAAAGGAGACGAAAAAACCCTTGCCAGCATACATCGCTACATGCTTTTGTACATGAAGTCACAGACGACTAACAACAAGAAAAATGTTTCGTGGAATGATGCTCAATTCATGTCAGATGCGATCCGGAGTCTTATTGGAGGCAGAAGAACATTGATGTGGTCTTACGCATTCATGTTTTACCTTGACAAGAGCAATTATTGCGATATTCTTGAGGGCATGCAAGACTATCTCAATGACAGCGTAGAATCGCTTTCGAAGATTTTCGAGGATGTTGGAGCGGAAAAGAAAAAGAAGTCGGAGGAAAACATCATGATAGCCTTAACGAAAAAGAGGACAAAAATTGTTCATTTGTCGTCATTAGTTTCGAAAAGACAGCGCCTTTTGATCGAATGTGCTGGGCAAGGACTCGATGATAAAAGTCTCATCTTCAAAGACTATATATAATCAATCTTTTACGTGATTGATCCAGAGCTACTGATAAGGACTTCTGCAGGACCCAATGAAGTTCCGCGTCTCGTCGATGCGCCTGCGGATTGTCTGATTTGAGTCACGTGGAGATAAGCTCATGGGGAGCTTTTTGTGTCCGTTGATCAGATGGGCCCATCAAAGTTTCGGAGTATTCTATTGCTGGATTCCTTGTTTATTCAGCTTACCCCTTATTCTCCAAATCTGTTCAGCGTCAAAGTACGGCTGTCTAATTTGCGCTTCCATCTGTGGTTGCGTGCGCGTTATCAGGACATCAGGACTGTCCAAGATTTGGAACCCTTATATCTACTTTTCTTTCACAGGGATCATGTCTGAAACCAACCGAGGGCGGCCTCTTCTAAGGGCAAGTTCTGCAAGTAAGATTCATACGCCCAAATCTATAAGTGACCCATTCCAACGTTCACAGTCCACACAACTCCCTCATACGCCGAGGCCGGATGAGCTTCGTCACAGAGCCATTCGAAACGAGCAGATCAGACATAGCTCCACTTCTGCCCTCGAACCTCCTCGTGCAGTGGCACCGCCCTTGAAGAATATTCAAATGGTTCATGATGCCCCGTTCAGAACCCTTAATCCTCCGACACATTCGCATAAGTTTGGCAACAGATGGGCTCAGTTCAATTTGGAAGAAGTACAGCAGAGGCCGACATCAGCTACAGGTGATTCCGCTGATAGTTCAGCTCCTGCTCCACACAAGAGACGTATTAACATTTCTCCCATGACTCAACTAAAACCTGCATTACAATCTCAGACATCAGATTCCGAGAGCTCGCCCGGTGATAGAGATCAAGCTGAAGCATCAGATGCTTATCATTCCCATCCGTCGAATGTTTCGTCAATTACTGAGAAGTCTCTGGGCCAGTCATGGGCTCTGTTGAGTCGCTCGGGTAAAGTAAGCAGCCATGCATCGATGAATACACTTGTGCCGATGCCCAAGAGCAAGATCGAGTTGAACAGAGGCGCCAATGACGACGACGAAGAAATAAATGACAGGATTGATAGGGACGAGGACCGACAACTTGCAACTGGAGATGCGGACGACGTTGAGACCACGGATATGCTGGCAATTTTTGAGATTGCCAAAGAGATTCAAGACTTTCAAGATTTGGTTGCAAGACAAGGTAACCAGAAGTCCGAGGGTGCTAACCGTACCACACAAAAGATGCTTGACCTCAAGCAATATCAGGAAGAGCAGGATGCGCTGGTTGTGTCACACCTGCTCGACCATGCTGTGAAAATCCAGAACGAGGCACTTTTATCTACCTGGACGTCAATACGACTTCGATTCTCTAGTCATGTTATTGGAGACTCTAACTCTAACCTCAGATGTTCTGCAGGAGTACTCGGAAGTATTCAACGTTGCCCACTACGGGCCAAATCGCATGAGACGAATATGGTGGATGCATCTAATAAAGACGAATACCTCATGAATTTGTGGACTGAAGAGCTTCAGGAAACATTCGACGGTCGTCTCAGGCTGACACTGATAAGCAATGATGAAGGCGAGGATATATACAGCGGGCCATCCGACATGTCCCACATGGCACTGCGTGCCCTTCACTCCAGGACCGCCAGCTAGACTGGTACATAGATTATAGAATTTTCCGGGAGGCTGCATTCTCAATACATTGACTCCATGGCGGGACGTAGCACAAATAGTTCGCGAGAGCTTTTTGCAACCATTCTTGTACCACCAACTCTACGAACTACAACTACTTCAATTGCTTTCCCAAATGACTAGAGAATTTACTGAGAGAAATGGACGTTGCTATTCTACCCATCCTACCTCACCAGATACACATCCGGAAGATGAGCTCTACGGTGAAGACATTCGAAGGCCTCAAGCCAGCGACGATAGTGAGGAAGAAACTTCAGAAGAAGAAACTCCACCCCCAAGGCCTCCTGCCAGAGGCTCCGAATTCACTACTCGTTGGCCTCGAGAAAGAGAATACAGAGTCAGGCAATTCGGTGCTGACTCTCAGGTACTCGGGTCCGCTCGTGAAAGACTTCGTCGCCAGACTCTCTCCAGAGCCAGGATACTCAGATCACGAATCCTCGTCTACGATTCCTTCTCTGATCTGTTCATTTTGTGGTTTCAAAACACCGACCACTTCAGATCCTACGAATACTTCCTTAGACATCGTCCTAGCGTGGCAGCCATGATCGCCTTGTACGTGTGGGTCGGTTCACATGTCCTAGGCGATCCGATTATGACAAGATTTTGGGCCGTGCTGTTTCGGCGAGCTTTTGAGGTTTGTGTCCGGAATCAACGGCTTCGTATCCAGAGAAGTCCTATTCGGAGATATTAGCTCTCGTCTTGCAGCCAACTGACTTCAAATGAGCTGTCCCACCGAGGACACTTCTGAAGGAAGTTTCCGTGTCGAGCTTGGAGTTTGGTAATTCTATCCTAAATTAGCGCTACTCTTCAAATCAATTGGTTCTGAAGCCTACTGCGTGTAGATTGTAGACATTCGAGGCTTCCTAAACTCTATAAAGCTGCGAGTAGTTCACCAATTTCACACACACAAAGAAAGCATCACAGCTTTAGCCTTAAGGAATTGTAAAAGGCTATTTCTTTTCGACAATCGGGTACATTCGATGGGTACACGATTTCATTCTGCAAGAATGATCCAATGGATCCAACCACGCTGGACCTCCATACTACTCGCACCCCCAGATATTTCTCACAAACTACAACACTTCCATGAGTAAAAGAGGTAATTTGCCGTACGCCTACCAGGATTTGTTTCCTCAGGCAGCCAACCTGCCCCGTGACTTCCGAACTCCTGGCTCCATCTCGGCTGCGTCATTTGCCGAGTCATCCTCGAGAAACACTGCATCGGCCTTCGCTCCAGCCAGAACACATGATAGACAAGGCTTGTTAGGCAATTGGAAGAGATTGTTCAAACGACTCTTCAAGCCGAAAACTCTTGACTTTGAAACCGCAACATGGGAGGTGTTCCACTTGATCGTGAACCCTAGAAAGATGTACAGATCAAACTACACATACAAACAGCAGAACAGCAGAAGATCCTCCTACGCCAGAGATGACCCTTCGTTTTTGATCTTGCTTACAGCACTCTTGTCTTTTAGTGCAATTGCATGGGGATTGGCCTACCTGCCACACTTCTGGGACATTGTCAAGCTAATTATCAATATGGTGTGCGTGGACTTCTACGTGACGGGTTTCTTCATCGCCACTTTGCTGTGGCTTCTTACGAACAAGTTGGCAAACCCGCTGTTCTCAATTCCCCATGCCTTTTCTGCTACTTCTCGTTATAATGTCAACTACATCGATTGGACCTTCTGTTTCGATGTCCACTGCAACTCGTTTTTGATGATCTGGTGCCTTCTCTACATGTTGCAGTTCTTCTTGCTTCCCCTTATAAACAGCAAAAAACTGTTCGTTTCTTTGTTGTTGGGAAACTCGCTTTACTTCGGTGCTGTGGGGTACTACTTCGTCATCACCTTTTACGGGTTCAACTCTCTCCCATTCTTCAACAGTCTAACAGTTACCAGGTCAGGAGCGGGAGTTAACCCAGCTAAAGTACTACAACTTATTATAATAGCGGGTATTCTACCTATTTTGGCTATTGGTTGGATTCTCACTATAGTGTTCCGTGTCAACGTCGCCTACACTATGGTTGACAACTATTTTAATTGATCACAATTGGTCTTTCAACAGCTCCAATCTCTCAGATGCAGCCTTGATTCTCATGCTGGTTCGGTTACTCAACTCGTAATCGCCGATATCGGAGGTGGTTTCTGCCTTTCTCAACCAACTGACACTCTCGTTGATAGCTCTGAGCGGATCGTCTCCGGATTTGAGAAGCCAGACAAACATAGCTTTCTCATAGAGAGCTGTAGGGTATAAGTATGGAGAATAGGTCATCTTTGTGAACTTGAAGGGAGCATTTGCGGAGTCTTGAACCACATACTTCGAGATGACTTCGGTGTCAAGTTGCGCCAATCCTGTCTTAACGTCACCAAGTTGTCTCAAGGTAATCGATTCAAAGAAGTTTCTCGTCATCTTTTCATCAAACGTCTCCGTAATCTTGGCATGCTCACCTGCGGAGAATTTTAACATGCGGTTCAGAATTTGGAGGTCCTCAAATGTCATCCGGTTGTATCCGTTCCAAAAGTATACAAGCTCGTGAATGAGCGAAGTTCCAACACATTCAATGTAAGTAAGGTTAGGGTTTTTGCGTTGTGTCTCCTCGATGCACTTCGTCTTCCGTAGAACGAACTTGTCAAAAGGCATTTGCTTATTGCTGCCACCTATGCCACCTTTCTTTCTTGTAGCATTGTGGCCGTGACCTGGAACATAGGTAGGTGCCAATTTGAGGTAGTGATCAGCCTTCTTAGCAAAGTAAGCCAATTTATCCTCCGTCTCTTTAGGAGTATCGTATTTGACTTCACCAACTTGTATCATCCTCCACTGTTCCAAGTAGCATGAACCAGCGAAAAATAAGTAAACTGCCAGAGACCACGAATTGATCTCAAGTAGTCTTAGGAAGTCTCTTGCAGCGTTCTCATAGTTGTGAACAAATGCGTATAGCATAGCTCTATCAAACGTAAGAAGGGCTTCGACTTGCTCCATATTTATCTTCGTTTCAGAATCATCAGTGAATGATTGCATGAGATCAATGGCTTTATGGATGTTATTCTGTGCCGCCAACATTCTGCCTTCTTGCAAGAGCCAAAGTGCATTGTGTGGGAAAAGATGGCGAGCTTTTGCCAAAATCTGCTTGGTGTATAAGTTAGGATTTCTGATAATAAGTGTCAACTCCTCATCGGAAATGCTTGATCTCTCTGAAATCAGGAGCACATCCGAAATATTGGAATCCTCGTGCCCTGGAAGTTGGAATCCCACGTCTATAAATTGAATCGGACCATCGTAGAAAACCAAAAGACACAAAAGAGCCAACTCGCCATGAATGTTTCTGGCGGTGATGGCAGTACGCCAAAGCATACGGAGACCAGTTTCTCTATCACCTTTGAAACCAACAATGGAAAGGACCTTTCCGATAGCTGGAGGAATCAAAGAAAGGACAACTTGGAGGATACCAAAACACAACTGTACTCCGGAATGAATAAATTCGTCAATAGTAGAAACGTATAAGTGCGCATTGGAGCCGCCAGTTGAGCTTTCGCCGGTGACTATAGATCCAGCTGAAGAACCCTTAGCACCCTCATTGATACTGATAGATCCAAATTGAGTAGTGGGTGGAGTTAACGACTCTCTGTTTCCCGGGTACTCATTCATCGTTGGATTGGACACTGCGAAGGAGTCGCCAGCGTCCGAGAACTCGTCGTTATCAGCTGCCTCTTCTTCAGACAGACTCTCGTTGTTTTTGCGAGTAAAAGCTGCGTTGGCTGCAACTGGTGGGGACATGGTGCCAGGTCTGCTCGACTGGGCTCCAGTGTCTTGGAAAGAAGGCAAGCTACTTTTCGAAGACAAGGATGGCGAGCTCAGCTGAGCAAACAAGTCAACTTGGGAGGAGACACCGGTGCCTTCTATTCTTGCTTTCCTCATTTTGTAGATTTGTTCCATGTCTCTCATCAACTTGACGTCCTCTGGCAATGAAGACAGAGATGAATTGCTAGAGCTTCTGGCGCTTGGGATATCGTAACCTGGAAGGTCGACCGATGATACCAGGGAGGCATCCGCTTGCTTGCGGAATTTAGCCAAGTTGTGGTTGAACAAGCCCTCTGACTCCTTGATCTTCTTGAAAGTTGCGTCAAGAATCTGATAAGCCCTACGCAACTTGAACAACGCCTTCGCCTGCTCCATCATTCCGTTGTTCTCGTGCAAAAGCATAACAAGGGCATTAAGCAAAGTCGACTCGGCGTACGTGACTTGAAACTCTGTGCCTGGCGGGTAGATGTGGGATGTCGAGAGATGGATCTTCTGGTTGTATTTTGAGTGGCTGAGAGAGGCTTCCTCGGCTTCCGACAAGGTATGATGAGCCCTGTTCATGACTTCAGTTTCAAAACCCAAGGTAGCTTCGATGAACTCCATGACACCTAGGGCCAAGGGGAAGATCGCTGCAGGCACCTTCAGGTGGGCCTTCTTGTGTCTTTCCACTTCAGTTTTCAAAAGATCCGTGCCTTGGTCTCCACGATCGTCGAGCAAGAAGTCCATCGCTTGGAGGGCGATTTCGAAATCACGAACCTGTCTCAAGACCTTGTGATAACGATCATGCTGTTCCAGGGTCTCTTCGGGCTGCAGAGATAAGGATAGCAAGGAAGCTTTTTTCCTGAAACCTTTCAACATTTCGGTAGTTGTGTATGGCGACTTGAAGAAGGGAGGGACAAACTCTTGGAAAGTTTCAGAAAATAGGCGGGTCAAGCAGGATAGGAGAATCAGACGCAACAAGAACAGGTTTCGAGAGGGTGTACAAGCACGTGATGTGGGGCGGTCCGGGCGGGTCCTCTTGACATCTGTGACAATGACAGGTCGCGGCTGTTTACACTTGACTTTGTGGTGAAAAGAGTCAAAAAGGAATTTATAGGAAGGTGGTGATTTTGGATATGGTCAGGTGAAGAGAAAAATTAATTTTTGGGTTGAAAAGAGCTTAAAACGCAAAATCGAAGGGGCTAGCCGAGACGAGGCGGTGGGCATAAGCACGGTGGGTAACCTGGATAGGCAACCAAGGTTTCTTTGTTGAACCGAAGTCGGGCAATGAGAGGATGAATGTGGAAAAAGTGTGTTCACATAGGCGGATCAAAAATCAAGAACGATTCGGGAAAGTGCAAGTGAAGGTTGTGGTAGGTGCTTATTGTGGCTATGGTGGTTGGCTGAGTCTCCTGCTGGGCTGGCTGAGCACCGCCTTCCAAGAGGGCTTAATGTAAGAGGTGTAGATTTGACGTTTTCTGGCGAAGGCTGGGATATGATCCGGGGACTACCGTTTTGAGATCGGCTTTGGCTATGACGCCATCGGTTTGTCCACAAGTAGTCCATGTCTTTGTCTTACCAGCCTTGGCTTGCTGGGCTATATCCAGTCCCCCACCTTGGCTGAATCGCACCGACCATCAAAGAGTCGTTAAAGGATGATTGAAGCAAAGAAGGGAAGGATGAGTCAATGAACTTTTTAAACGGTCTTTTATGTTTGCAATTATGTCAAATGCTTGGATTGGGGTTTTGATCGGTTTTTGATCGGTTCGCAGGGAATGCGTTGTTGGATCGCCCCACTACTCGATTAGACTCAGCCTTAAGCTTAGCCTTCTGTCGGCTTGTAGATTTGCTTTCGCTTGCTCAAAACCAAATTACCATCCTGGTGCTTCCAGTGATCTCGCCAGATCGTGGTTCCTGAACGGATCTGGGTGTTTCCTAGTTGGGTCGCATTCAGCACTTTTTCGCAGCCAGCCCCCGGCATGCATTAGTCGGTTTAGACTGGCGCACCTAGTCCGAACAAGCTAGCGAGCCACCCAAAAGGAAGAACAGACTTTGGCGAGAGGTAAAAAGTCAGGGTCCCAAAATAAACATAAAGGGGTGTACTGAAGAAAAGAAGCTTCCCAGGAGAACCCAATTGCTAATGGGGCGGCCTACGACCCACTGCTTCACCGAAGCCTCCTTGTTCTTTCTTCTTTCCCATTATTTCTGCTTCTCTACCTGTCCCCGAGCTGAAAATTCCTGTCTCTGGCTCCATTTTCCTGCCCTTGGGGCCTGCCTGGCTGGACAAACCGGTTTCGGTGTGCCAACGGTGTTTCGCATCTGGCTGCTAGACGTTTTCAGCGTGCAGCCGCACTCGCTAACGCTGGTGTGGGTGCAAAAAACCGCACCAGATCTGGTTCGCTTCCTGTTCCTGACACGGCCATGACAGCCAGCCGGTCCCGCTATAAAACGACCGTCTCCTCCTCGATTTTCCCACTCCAACCCCGACACTCCTTTCCCAACTACCGTCTATCGTTATGAAATTCGCCACTCTCCTTTTGGCCGCCTCGGCCCACGCTGCCACCATCACTAGATGGCACACCTCCTGGAACATCGTCACCTCGCTGTACGACACCACCACCATCAGCACGCTACCACCCACCACCGTGGTGATCGACACCGATGGCCAGACCATCTACCCAACTTCCACCGCTCCTTCGACCCCAACAACCCCACCTACCGTGGAATTCGAGCCAACTTCGTCGGCCCCAACTACGTCGTCGACACCAACTACATCGTCGACGCCAACTACATCTTCAACTCCAACCACGAGTTCGCAGTCATCAACAATCGCTACTGTTCCAACAGACACTACCTCCAGCGCGGCCTCCAGCGCCACCTGGACACCAACCACCATGTCTACCGCGCTCTCGTCCTCCTCCTCGTCCTCTGCATCCAGCACCAGCAGCAGTGCTACCCCAAGCGCGGGTCTCAACGAGTTCCAGCAGGACATCTTGGACGAGACCAACAAAAAGAGAGCCCTCCACTCTGCTCCATCCGTCGCCTGGAACTGGACCTTGACCGAGTTTGCTACGGAATACGCCAAGAAGTTCGACTGTAACAACGTCGAATTGATCCACTCGGGCGGTCCTTACGGTGAGAACTTGGCTGCTGGTTACGTTGGCGGCAAGGACCCCGTTGACGCCTGGTACGACGAGATCAAGGACTACGACTACCTGAACCCAGGCTACTCCGAGGCCACGGGCCACTTCACCCAGCTCATCTGGAAAGACTCCACCCAGATGGGTTGCGCCAAGGTGACTTGCGACAACATCTGGCGCCAGTACACTATCTGTGAGTACTCCCCTAGAGGCAACGTTGTGGGCACCACCCAGCTGTTGACCGAAAAATTCTTTTCTTCTAACGTTTTGCCTTTGGCTTAGGCATCTTCGGTTTTCTTCGATATATACTTTTAATGCTATGGATTTACGATTCGCTTGTAGGTGAGAGATGGAATGGTTGCAAAATCGCGATCCCGAGATAAGTTTGATGCGTCAACCGAATGAGCTTCGACGGGGAGCCGTCTACTTTCATCATTTCCCGAATTGGACTCGAAAACCATCAATTGAAATTTGACTTCTTTGACGGCTCCGTGCATTGCACATACTAGCCAATTAAGCTTCTAAAGCACATTTTCTACACTCATATAGATGAAACTGTTACTATGTATCGCTACAAGCTTACTGCTTCAACAAGTGGGCGAACTGACCCTTAGAAGGCTTGGCCTTCTTCTTCTCAACCTTGACAGATCCCAACTTCTTCTCGGAGTAAGCTCTGGCGTAAGGGTTCAATCTCAACAACACCTGCTTGTTCTTCAATGGGTTCTTCTTCTGGGTGTGAGGTCTCTTGGTGAAGCTCTCCTGGGCTGGTCTGACAACGGCCTGGATCTCAGCAGAGTTGATCAAAGACTTGTAGTCGGAGTTAGACACAACGTTAGCTGGCAAAGCGTAACCGGACTTGGCAGACTTGGTGTTCTCGGAACCGTAGACGGAGTCCAAGGACTCGAAAGCAGCCTGGGTCCAGATAACAAATCTACCCAAGTGGGCACCTGGAGCCAACTGCAACAAACCCAAACGGGAAACGTGGGCAACGTCGACACCTGGGATGTTTCTCAAGGCCTTGCTGATACCGTTGTCGTTGGCGTAAACAACCAATGGACCTCTCTTCTGGACCCATCTTCTGTTTCTCAACTTACCCTTACCGGCTCTCAACTTCTTGGACTTGATGACTCTGACAATGTCCTTGTGGGCACCGACAGCCTTCAAGACAGCGACAGCGTCCTTGGTCTTGGTGACGGACTCCAAGTCGTTGGAGACAACGAGAGGCAACTCCTCAACCTGCTCGACTCTGTGACCTCTGGCCAAAACCAAAGAGGTGACAGCGGAAGCAGCGATGGCAGAGGCAGTGGCGTAACGCTTCTCGTTCTGGTTAACCTTGACGTGCCATCTTCTCCAGGTCTTGGTAGGAGCGAACATACGACCGCCTCTACACATGTTACCGAAAGCACCCTGACCGGAACGGTGAGTACCAGAACCACCAACTCTTGGAATTCTGGCAACAGCTCTACCGGTACCCCAGGACTCAGCGGAGGTCTGGTGGCCAGCCTTCTCGGAGACGGCGTAAGCCTGTCTCTTGTTCTTGTTCACTCTGACGAAAACGGAGTGGACAATGTCAGCTCTGACTGGAGCGTTGAATACAGCTGGGAGAGGCAACTGAGCGGAGGTCTTCTCGCCCTTGGCGGAGACAACAGAGACTTGTGGACGGGACATGTTTGTTTGTAGGTGATGTAGAAGATGTGTGAAAAAAAATTTTTTTTCAGTAGGTGGTGAGCCCGAGATGTTAGGTCACGTGCGCGCAGCGAAAAACCGTCCCATTGGCCAGGGCTGCAGCCGCGAGGTGCTTCCTGCTACTACAGAAGCGGCTTTCGGTATAGGGTTGTACGAAAAACTGACTGAAGACGGTCATTAATATTTTTGTTGCTTAGAATTCCGAGAAGTTTTTGAAGCTTTTGTGACGCAGATTGAAAAAAAGGATTGCATTTTATTTTTCTTGCGGTACACCATTGGTCTCCACAGTGTCTTACTACGTTCACTGGGTTCTTTGAGTGTAATCTTTAATTGTTGAAGTAGTTTGGAACTCTTGCGTAATTAAGATACTAGCTGAGCAACTTTGTTTTCTTTTTATCTAATTGTTGGTTTATAAACAGATTTTACAACTTTTCCAAGTTGTGTCAGAATGGCGTGTGCACCGAGGATTCTTACGAACAAGCGCTACTTTTTAGAGAGTTCAATTCTAAAATCCACTTAGATTTCCTTCACTTAGGTCACTTAGTGTCTTTAATTATATCCCTACGTTTAGAAGGCTTTCTCTACTTCCTTACTATACTTTTGATACGTTGTTATCTATAAGTTTACCCAAAGAATTTAGAGTACTTGGCTCTTTCAGCCTTTTTGGATTGATCCAATAACTCTTGGGCTTTTGAAATCTCCTTAGGGATGGCTGCATCATCAGGAACCAATTTTTGTGCCTCCTCGAGAGAGCTGATGGCCTCTTTGTATTTTCGTAGCTCAATTTTGGCACTACCAGCTCTGAATAGCGTCTTTGCTTTTTCCTGCTGAGAAAGAGACATCTCTGAAAGGTACTCGCAGTAGTCGAGGCATCTAGAATACTGTTTGAGTTTTAGTGTGACCAATGACAAGTTGAGATAGATCTTCTTCTTCAAGTCCATGTATTTCTGGTAGAAGTCAGGCTCTTCATCTGGATCCGGGAAAAATTCCATCACGTACCTCAATGCCTTTTTAAACTTGAAAAGGGCTTTCTGGAGCTCTCCCTGTTTGAAGAGTTCACCACCAGCATTCTTGATTATCGTGGATGCTTTCAACACAGACGCTGACAGCTCTTTATCGATGTGCCTATCATCATCAGGGTACTCCTCAAATATATCACCTGCAATCTCATCGTAGCACGCATTGAATATAGGTACGGGGTCTCCATCTTCCCATTGACCACATTCAGTGATCACGACAGGTGCAGAGTCCACAGGCACATGTGCACTATCCGTCTGAACGTTTTCAATTTCTCTTATAACAGACTTTCCCTTGATCACACGGCCAAAACAGGTGTGTTGGCCCAGGAGATGTTGTGCTTTGTATGTGGTGATGAAGAACTGAGACACAGAACGACCTGCCAATGCTAGAAGAAAGGATTCCTCGAACTTCTCCTCCACATTCTCTTCAGCAACCTTTTCAGAGTCAGCAACGTTGCCATTGTCGCATTGGATCATAAAGTTCTTGATTATCCTGTTGAAGCGGTGCCCTTTGTAGGTATGCAACTGGTCGAGAAATGCAGCAACGGTTGAAGGAGCCTTGCTCACGTAAAGCTCGGAAACGATTCTTCCGATTTTGGCATCTCCCACCGAGATATCAAGGTAAATTTTGGGTAGCACCTCTTCAACTCTCATGGTGGTTTGAAGATGCCCCGGATTTCGCGATGCCCTACTATATCGAATATCGCAACTAGTCTTCTAGATATATGTCATTCAGGAGCACACAAACGATTCGAGGCATTCGAGCCTTTACGTCGTCAGCTATTCGCCACAGCTATGAGCAGCAATTAGCTAAATCCGCTGAAAACATCAATGTTCTATTGGAGAACTCGGACAGACTGTCGTACATCCTAGCACAATACATCCCTGAGCCAGCCAGAAATGGCTTTTTAGCGATCAAAGCCTTTGGATTAGAAATCAACAAGATCACTGATGGAGGCGCTGCCACGGGATCAAGAGCTCTGATGGCGCTGAACCAGCTTTCATCTTCCATGGGTCTATCTACAGCAGACATGAAGTACAAGTTCTGGCTGGACATGATGTCCAAGGCGTTCACTGACCAAGGCGAAGTACATGAACCAACAGTGTTTCTCTTAAGAGATGCTTTGAGACTGGGGCTCAACTTGGACATCTCGTATTTCCACCAATACCTACAGACAAGGAGGCATTTCCTTCTGTCAAAGCAATTTAAGACCGTCGAGGATATCTGCTCATACGGCGAGGGTACTTACTCTCAATTGAATTATGCTACGCAGGCATTGCTACTTCTGCCGCTGATATCCCCATCTGTCATTCACCTCTTGGAGCTTTCTCCACAATTGCAGAACAAGGTCAGTGATATTGCAGCTCACATTGGTCAGGCTTCTGCTGTGAGCTCAATGATTTTGGGCTTTGAATACTACGCCAGCACCCGCAACATCGTTACCTTACCTGTGGACCTCATGACGAAGTTTGAGCTTTCTCAAGAAACTGCCCTTCGTTTGGCCCAGGGCCACCTCAAGGAGAAGAGTCAGGAGGAAGAGGCGAAGGAAAAACTTCAAAATGTCATTTTCGAAACGGCTGTGACAGCTAACGACCATCTTCTCTCGGCTCGTGTTAAGCTTAAGGAGGTGAAGAACGACATAGCACACTTGGTGAAGAGCAAGCCGCACGACTCTTTGCTACAGAAGAATGTCAAGAAGTGGAGAAGAGGCATTCCTGACGTTGTATTCATCCCCTTCATGAACGCTATACCCACATCCTTATATTTGGAGAAGTTGGAGAAGAACGACTTCAACCTCTTCCGCCCAGGAATGAAGCAAAAGGAGTGGCGTCTCGGCTGGAGGTCCTTCAAAAACTACTACACCAGATCGATCTAGGTTTTTCAAAAGCATGTCTGAGGCTTAGAGCGGTCTTTCGTGCGTTTTTCGCAGCCATTCCTAACAAGTAAATAGATTTAATGGAAGGTTTATTTATATAAGTTGCTTCAAAGGAAAAAAGAAGTTTATTTCAAGATACCGTCCGAAGGAGAGCGCAAAATGTCGATCCTGATCCCGCAGACTAGTAAGATTACTATACTTTTAGACCATATGCGGCTCGCCTGAACTGCAATTGCACCCTCGAAACTTCAAATACCTCGATCGGAAATATATTGCGAGAGTTTCCAAAATTGATAAATAGGAATCAAAATCGTCCACTCAAGGCCACTAAACTCTATTCTTAGCAATTACTACTTTCGGACTGTTCCATCTTCGTGATATGTGGCCCTGGTTTATGGGTTTCGCACTTTTCGACACAAGGCTTTACGTGTAACTCCATACATCCACATCAACAATCACGGAGACTACAGGACCTTACCGGAAACACCATGTTCTCGAAGTCCCCCACACCAATAAATCCACGCAGCTTGGCACCGGCGTGGCTGCATCAGGCACATCCGCCTTTTCTGCCACAAACCGCCTCCATAGACCCCATTACTTTGGTGATCAATGAATGTATGGTGATTCTGTGCGCCATGAGAAAGATGAGCCGCTGGCCTCAAACAGGCGTGGCTGCCATTTTGGGAGGCAGCGATTTGTTCGGAGAGGAAGACGGGCTTTCTAACTTGGGTCTCTCGGGATCTCATTTCGGACTGGCTGTCTCTACTCCTAGACCCTCGAACGGAGGAACGGCTAACCCCAACACCAGTTCCAACCCTTTACACTCGAGTTTCTTGCAGTTGCGTGCCATACTTACGGAGACCTCCGATATCAACACAGTGGACTCGTTGACGATCCTCCAACCATTCTTGTTGGCTGTGGAGTCAAGCTCCACATCAGGAAATGTCACGGGCTTAGCTCTCAATGCCATCACCAAATTCTTAGACTACGGTGTCATTGGGTGGCACTCAAAAAATATTCAAAACTCGCTTATACAAATCACTAGCTCCTTGACACACTGCCGCTTCGAGGCTGCAGACCAAAGCTCAGATGATTCCGTCCTTCTCAAGGTCTTGCGATTGTTGGAGTCCATTGTTGATTCATCCTTCTCAAAACTTCTACCAAATGCAGTGGTGTCTGAAGTGATTCAAACGTGTTTATCCCTTGCATGCAACAAGCGTCGTTCAGAGGTGCTTCGAAGAGCCGCCGAGATGGCTATGATCTCCATGACAATCCGAGTCTTCCTGCGCCTTCGTGAGCTTACCCCCGAAACAACTCATGTCGAGGAAATCCCCACAAATTATGCCGAGAATCAATTACCTGCTGATGTTATAGGCGGAACTAGCTCGCCAACAGAAGATACAAGTGCCGTGGCACAGGATGGCGCAGAGGCCGACCTAAAGCCACCAACTGTGGACCTTGCCCCAACATCGCCCAAAAGAAAGCCATCCATGACCGATGAAAAGGAACCACAATTTGACATTGTTTGCATCAACGAATTCTTCGCCATTTTGATCTCCATGATCTCACCAACCAACCAATACCAGCATATGGAAAGTACGCGTGTTTTTGCCTTGCTGCTCATAAATATAGCCATTGAGGTGACAGGCTCTGAAATCCCCAAACATCCCTCCTTGATGGGACTTGTGGCAGACCCGGTCTCCAAGGACGTCTTACAAATCATTACCGTTACTGACTCACCTCCTTTGTTACTGGCCGCTTTGAGATTATTCTCTACCATGGCGATCATTCTTGGCAAGCATATCAAATCACAGATTGAACTTACTTTCAATTTGCTATTCCATTCCATTTTACCCCCTGACCTTTCCAAGGAGAACACCATCAAGGGCAACAAGATGGCAATTTCGACCAGGATTGCCTCTTCAAAAGAAGCTATTGTGGAGAGTCTCTCTTTGCTTTGGATCAGGTCTCCCCAATTTTTTTCACTGTTGTTTGTCGATTACGACTGCGACTTTGAGAGATTCAACATGGCATCCGACTTTGTCAACTTCCTTTGCAAATTAGCCTTACCCGAGGCCGCCGTTATTTCAACAGACAACGTTCCCCCAATCTGCTTGGAGGGTATCCTTTCTTTGGTGTCTGGCATAAATGACCGTATCAAGAATTCTGAGGGTAAGCACATTCGCCTGGATGACCAGCCATCTCATCAACTACTCTTGGACAAGGACAAGAAGACAGCATTTGTGAGGTGTACCGAAATCTTCAACGACAGTCCTAAGAAAGGAGTCGCTGCGTTTGCGGAGAAGAAGTTCTTGAATGACCCTAATGACACTTCTGAATTGGCATCTCTTTTATTCAACAAGTCGGCTCGTCTCAACAAGAAGATCCTCGGTGAATACCTCGCTAAACCTTCTAATACTGATCTTTTACGAGAGTTCATGAATCTTTTTGAATTCGCCGGTTTGCGAGTGGATGAGGCATTGAGACTCTTACTCAAATCCTTTAGACTTCCTGGTGAGTCTCAGCAAATTGAGAGAATAGTTGAGCTTTTTGCGCAAGCTTATGTTGAATGTCAGAAGTCATATACCCCAGATGAATTGACTGAAGAGGAAAAGAACGAGCCGGTCAACCCTGACCAGGATGCCGTGTTCGTGCTATCCTACTCGGTAATCATGCTCAACACAGACTTGCATAATCCACAAGTTAAGAGGCAGATGGATCTCGATTCTTACAAGAGAAATTTGAAGGGCGTTAACAATGGAAAAGACTTCCCAGAGTGGTACCTCTCGAAGATTTACTCATCTATTAGAGACCGTGAGATCATCATGCCCGAGGAACACCATGGTACCGATAAGTGGTTCGACGATGTGTGGCATAATCTCATCTCTTCCCAAACAAAAGTGGCTCGCGATAAAGACATATCGTTGAACTCTATTGACGTTGGCACTTTGTGTCAATTCGACAAACTATTCTTTGAAGGCTCAGTTGATGTTATTATAGAAACACTCATTAAGGTTTTCAAGGAGGCTTCTGACGATAATATCATCACCAAATTGATGTCATCCATCGACAAGTGTGCTAATATCTGCATTAACTATGGTCTAGCTAAGCCTGTGAACCATCTTATTGAGGAATTGACCACCATTACGCATCTCACTAGGAAGACATTCCCCGCCCCACACCCAGAGGAGAATATTCGTCGGGAGATTCCAATCACTCAGATTACCATCGAAAAGAAAGAGGAGCCTATTAGTATTAGTGACATGGCCGTTTACTTTGGCCGTGACTTTAAGGCTCAATTGGCTGCAGTCGTTCTTTTTAGATTGATCAAAAAGTCTGATTGCAGAGTGAGTCAATCCTGGGACGGAGTCGTCAAAATCATACTCACATTGTTGGAAAACTGTTTGATTAACCCTAATTTGTTTTGCGAATTCCAGAAGAAGGTCAATTTGGCTCCCCTTGCCAAAGTGAAACCACGCTTTATTATTCAAGGAACAAAGCCATTGAACAACTCTGGAATTTTGTCAACATTCTCATCATTTTTGAAGGGGTACTCCGACGAACCTCCTGAGCCTTCAGACCAAGAGATAGAGTCGACTCTTTCCACCATTGATTGTGTCAGATCAATCAATGTTCCTGGTATCTTTGACACTGTCTCAAAGGGTACTCAAGAAGAGCTCAAGCAGTTCGTGGATTTGCTTTTGGGCAACTTGCCAGAGTTCTCTGATGACAAGAAGCGTTTTTACGAATCTGAGATCTTATTCCTATTCGAAGTCGGCGTTTGCTTCTCCTTGATTGTGAGCGAGACAGAAGTCACAGATAAGCTCATCAGCAAATTACACGAGTACATGAAGAATCACGTCTCAAAGAGAGGCTATATGAGACTTTCAACATACTTGTTTTTGCTCGCAAGACAGAGCGATCACAGTTACGAGAAGGAAGCAGGAGAGACACTCGAACGTATCAACAGCTTTGACAGAGATATTATAACAAAACACGGTGCTTCCTTGGTGAAGTCCCTTTTCTCATTTGTTGATCATGACTCCAAATCGAGACCTTTGATCCAAACGGAAGGTTTCTGGGATTTCCTCAAACTCGCTGGTTCCTCATCAGACCTCGCTGATGAGGTTTTAGACTTCGTCGAATCCATTGTTCAAGATTCTTCCGATGAAGTCTCAGACCAAAACCATATCTTGTTGTTGGGATTGCTTGATGAGGTATCGTCTCTTGGTGCTGTGGGTGCCCAATGGGAACAGGCAAGGGACAATGGCCAGACCGTGAACAACAAACCAGATGAGGATTCTGAAGAAAACAAGAATGTCCAAAAACTCATTAAGATTTCATCGAGGTCAATTGACCAAACCGGACTCTTAGGAAGCTCCACCAGGAAGCTTTCGTATCCATTGATACAAGCTTTAGCTCATCAATGTTTCAACCCCTGCCGCGAGGTGCGTTCACATGCTATCACGGTATTGCAGAATACATTGCTTTCGGGAGCATTGAACGAAAATTTCACTGCATTAGGAATTTACGAGTATGGGCTCTTCCCTCTTTTAGCTGAACTTGAGAAAGAGGATGTGATCACTACCGACAAGAAGGGATTCCCAGAAACTCATTCGCAGATTTTGAATTTGGTGAGCAAGGTATTCCTTCAGCATCACAACGAACTCAATGAGGAGGAGAGAAAGACGGTTTGGCTAGGAATTGTGACACATTTCGTTAGAGTAAACAAGATGAACTCTGATCAAGAGAAGAGTTACGTGAAGGAGTCTAGCTTGGAGGTGATGAAGAACATGATTTTGGTCTTACACAACGAATTCCTTGTTCCGGATAACAAGGATTTATGGGAATCAACGTGGAAAAATCTTGAGCAAGTTTATCCTGGTCTCGAGAAAGAACTTCCCAACAAATAAGGGCCATAATAATAGACAATAAATGCTAAAAGAAGCGAGTTGTACCAATTCTACCACATCGATAGTGACTTTTCTTTTGACATACTGGGAGAAAAATGGAGTCGTAAATTTAGTGGTATATAATTTTCAGTCTTTCATGTCTATCTCATTTGCAACTAAAGCTGAAGTCCTGCAGTAGTGCATATACAAGGCTAACAAAGCAGAGCAGAGGAACGGAAATCTACTCCAACCCCGTCAAAAAATGGCAGAGTCTTACACCCAGAGGGCTGAAAAGCATCCTTCGCCTGTGGCACAGCGTCTTCTCCGTCTAATGGAGACGAAGAAGTCCAACTTGTGTGCATCTGTGGACGTCAACACTACTAGTGAGTTCTTGGCCCTCATCGACAAGTTGGGTCCTTCCATCTGCTTGGTGAAGACTCATATTGATATCATTGATGACTTTTCCTATGAAGGTACCATTGTCCCACTTCTCGAGCTTGCCAAGAAGCACCAATTTATGATCTTTGAAGACAGGAAGTTCGCTGATATCGGAAACACCGTGAAGCACCAGTACTCTGGTGGTGCTTTCAAAATTGCCCAATGGGCTGATATCACCAACGCTCACGGCGTCACTGGTACCGGTATTGTCAGTGGATTGAAACAGGCCGCTCAAGAAACCACCCAGGAGCCTCGTGGTTTGTTGATGCTTGCTGAGCTCTCCAGTAAAGGCTCATTGGCTTACGGTGAATACACCAAGCAGACTGTTGAGATTGCCAAGAGCGATAAGGACTTTGTCATTGGTTTTATTGCTCAGAGAGATATGGGTGGCCAAGATGAGGGATTTGACTGGTTGATCATGACTCCAGGTGTCGGTCTTGACGACAAAGGAGATGCCTTGGGCCAGCAGTACAGAACTGTGGATGAAGTCATTTCCACCGGCACAGACATTATCATTGTCGGACGCGGTTTGTTTGGAAAAGGAAGAGATCCCCAAGTGGAGGGTGAACGGTACAGATCGGCTGGATGGAACGCCTATCTTAAGAAGACAGGCCAATAAATAGATATGTACAAGGGGCCAATCAGAAACGCTCGTTCATGTCATCAAGACTATCGGCAAGACGAGTACGCATAATCTCGAAAACAAGTAAGCCAACGGATGTTGCAGGAATGGTAGTCAACGCATTTCTAGCAAAACCTTTGTACGCGAGTTTGAACCAAGTCTGGTTTTTTCTGCGTTTGATGGCCATGCAGTGTTGAAACGTATCAACATAGGAGTTGTAGTAAATCTTGAAAAAATGACGTTGCTTTTTGTGCATCGTCGCTGAATAGATGTCTAGCGCTTCTAAGCGGTGTAGATGTATCTTCTGTACTTTTGAGATGGGGTACTGGACAGCTAGTAGAGAGAAAGCTGCCGAGGCCCCTGCTAGAAGAATGAATGTGGATTTAAGAATTTTGGTCAGTCTGGTTTGCTCAAATCGGAGGAGTGCTGCATCCGTTTCTTGGTTCTTCAGCGACAAGGATAACTTCTCTCTCACCTTCTGCTTGAAGCGACGGAAGGAAGAAATGACCCTGTACGTCAAACTGTATCCTCTTGTCTTGACAAGCTCAAAGGTTGAGAAGTAAAAAGCAAAGCCCAAGCTTTCTTTGATGAGTGAAAAACCGTATCCTGCGAACACTCCCAAGAATCCAACTTCCTTGAGTTTCTCCCAACCGAAAACCCAGAGGTTCTGATGTTTGCCGCTCATGATCTCTGCCATGGACAGTCTGGTGAAAATGGCATCCACAGGAGCTGCAGCAAGGGATTGAACAGCTCCAGCTATGAAGCCTGCTTTCCAAGTATCTGTAGGTGGATAGTAGTAGTCCTTGTTAGATCCCTTGGGCCTATCCTTCTCTAGGTAGTCTAGGGATGTCAAGTATGAGCCGTATAAGATGATTCCTGTTGCTGAATTGGCAATGAGAGGCGGAAGTACCTGGTCGGGAATGAACTTCCAGCCTTCCTTCTTGATAACATTATGTAGCATGCCAAGCGTCGAATGTGTACTGAATCTATAAGGCTTTGAGTTTATGCCATCATGTTTATTGGCCAACTCCCTCACATAGACCATGTAGTCGAATCGGGAGGGACGAAAGAGTTTTATGGGTGTTCTCATATATAACGACTGAAGTTGGTACAAGACAGCTCTGATACCAGCAGTTGAGAGGGACACCGTTTGGTTGCTCACCTTCTCACGTCGAACATGATCGTCGTCGGATCCTATAGCGAGGTCCGTACTCATTGCAGCATTGTGGATTGGCGTTTGTATCTTGCTGAAAGCAGACTTCCAATGGCGCAGATGTTGATATGAGAATGCAGGAACCACAAACGGCTGTCAATGCACAGATTGCCCCGGAAGACCGGGACCAGCGGGAAAATAGTAAGCAGAAACCGGTAATTCGAGTGCTATTTTGAGCCAATCAATGGGAATTTGCGAAATTGGTATGGTGAAGATCGATGCTACCCATTGCTACTCCAATGGCTGCGAAACGTGGGGAAAAAGTCACAGGTTGCTTTTTAGTCCATGGGATTGGAAACTTCTCACAGAAGACAGCTTATTCTTCTCAGTGTTTACTCTTCTCTGTAGAGAACGATTTCGCTCTGCTTGAAGTAGCGTCTGCCCTCCTCATCAATCAACACCAACAGCAAGTATGTTCTGCACGAGAACTTCTTGTTCACATCCTTGTAGGTCGGCGTGAGATCGTAGCCATTCAAAAACAATCTAATCGGAATGCTTTCACCCTTGACCGGTGCACCATCCATGATCTCGAACCGCACAGTGGTGTCTGACTCGACCACCTGGTTCGGAGCCGAACCCACCATTTCTCGCTTGACAAGAGAGATCTCCATATGTTTAATTTTGATTCTCACGAGCATGAAGAAGATCCGACCCACAATTACTTCCTTGAGCGAAAATCGGCTCTTGTTGTACTCAAACTCAATGTGTAGACAGTGCTCAATGCCCACATCCATTTTGACTGTCGATGACGCTATCGTCTTAGCGGCACTTTTCGCCATGACTTCTCCACCAGTGCCGCTGCCAGTGCTGGCCTTCCTTTCGGCATTCCCATTCGTCTCTTCGCTCAGTGAATTGTCGTACTGCAACACCCATAAGTCCTTCTCCCTGGTGATGTCTGCTTTGTTTTTGCGGGATACAACAACACGTATAAAGTAACGCAAGTTGACATTCTTGCCTCTATAGCTCTCGTACTGCTTCTCCACGTTCTTGAAAGCAAAGCCGTAGGTATCCGATTGGTTCAAGTGGCCAGGGGCAGCAAGCTCTGTGGCTAGACTGAGAAACTCGGACAGCGTGATGGTATCCAAAGGAGACTCTATGGTACCTAATAATTGGACTTTAACTCCGATGTGCTCCACATCTCTACCACCTCTAGTTCTGAGGGTCACTTGTCCTTTGACCGACTCGCCATCTCTGAAGAGCGGCAACAGGTCGATGCGGCCTTGTTTGGATTTAAGTTCGATATGCTTGCGGGATTTTTCATCATCTAGGCGGATTTCGATGTCCAATGGCGCCTTGAAAAAGAGTGACATGGCGTGGAGTTGAGTGTGTGAGAATGTGGTGAGATAAGCTACGTACACTCTGGGGTCCGGAGGCTACAAGAGACCGAACCAATGGGAGTTTTATATTTTGAGAATTTGGTCAATTGCTTGGTGAGTGTAATTTTGAGAGTGGATTTACGGAAACCTTAAGTTTATTTCTTCCAGATTGCTTGCTCTTTTGGTGGGTTTAGTGAAACCGGTTGTGATATGATATTTCGCAGCCAATCTAGCATAGGATGGATCGACATTCAAACCAGAGGGTTATAGTTTTCAACTCAATTTACAGTAATGGTCTACTCTCAATTTATCATCAAGCCAGAGCGGCGGTGCATTACTATATCTAGTTCTTGGCGACGTACTCAACCAAGTCAACGACTCTGGTGGAGTAACCGTACTCGTTGTCGTACCAAGCAATCAACTTGACGAACTTAGGAGACAACAAGATACCAGCCTTGGCGTCAAAGACGGAAGAGTACTTGGAAGAAAGGAAGTCGGAAGACACAACGGCGTCCTCGGTGTAGCCCAAAACACCGTTCAACTTACCCTCAGAAGCCTTCTTCACAGCAGCACAAACCTCCTCGTAGGTGACGTCCTTCTTCAACTTGGCGGTCAAGTCGACAACAGAGACATCCACAGTAGGAACTCTCAAAGCCATACCGGTCAACTTACCGTTCAAGTGAGGAATAACCTTACCGACGGCCTTGGCAGCACCGGTGGAAGATGGAATGATGTTGCCAGAAGCAGTTCTACCGCCTCTCCAGTCCTTGTGGGAAGGACCATCCACGGTCTTCTGGGTAGCAGTGATGGAGTGGACAGTGGTCATCAAGGCCTCCTCAATGCCGAAGTTGTCGTCAATGACCTTGGCCAATGGAGCCAAACAGTTGGTGGTACAAGAAGCGTTGGAGATGATCAGCTGGCCAGCGTACTCGTTCTCGTTGACACCGACAACGAACATTGGAGCGTCAGCAGAAGGAGCGGTGATCACGACCTTCTTGGCACCAGCGTCAATGTGCTTCTGGGCACCCTCGAGCTTGGTGAAAACACCGGTGGAGTCCACAACCAAGTCGACACCGTCAGCACCCCATGGGATCTGGGCTGGGTCCTTCTCACCGTAGACCTTGATCTTTTGGCCGCCGATGATCAAGTTGCTGCCTTCGCTGGAAACCTCAGCCTTGTACTGACCGTGGGTGGAGTCGTACTTGAACATGTAGGCGGCGTAGTCAGCAGCAATGAAAGGGTCGTTGACAGCGACAACCTTGATGTCCTTTCTCTCAAGGGCGATTCTCAAGACGAGACGTCCGATTCTGCCGAAGCCGTTAATACCGATAGTGACCATTTTATGTAATTAAATTAGGGATGAAGATGAGGAGCAATTGGGTCTGAAGGGAACGGTATTTATACCCTGGCGGTGGCCCTTCAAGCGTATGGTGATGGTGCGGCTCACCCAGTGTGAAATAGGGTGGTGTGATGTCGCCCTCGAGGGGCTAAGCTTCGGTTTCGGGGCGCCTGCGAAGGTTATTTTGGGTCAATGCAGGGCAGACTAGAATCTGCTTATTTTGCTGCTGCAATTGTCTGGGTAAGTGTCGATTTTGCAGCCATTAGAGGGTGCGAGTGCGTCTGGCATCAGGTGGTTGATTCCGTTAGTGCAACTCGCCTATCCCACAGCTGATCTCGGAGCGGGTCATGCGCTTAGGTTGAAACTGATGTGGACTGAGGACGTTGAAAGCTTTTTTTATTGGATAGGCGATTAGAAGTGCCGGGAGGTGGAGGGGGCACATTGGTTGTGATTTTTCCACATTTTTCACCAATGCAGCGCAGATCACTCTCGCCGTTTGAATGGGAGCCACTTGCTTCAGATGAAACAGCGCTTGGCCACCTCCAGGGTCTTGATGCGATAACGTGGTCCGGGGCCGTTTCCAGGGAGATATGCGCTTTGGTGGGGAGATCCACTTCTGGGTTCTCCGGTGGGTGTGGGTTCGGATCTCTCCTGATATCAACGTGTAGCGCCAGACGAGGACATAAGTGCCTCCTCTGAATCCTCAAAGCTCAATTGCTTTAGTTACTCAAGAATCAGATTTTATGTGCTCCACCTCAGGGCTGGTGCTTTGCCTAGTGGCTTGAGTCCATGTGGCTTGTAGAGTAACGATATTAGCCACTTTGGAAAATCCACCTCGGAAAGCAGAAAATCATCTTTCTTCGATAACCACAACCTCAAAAACATAAACCTCCTCTTATTCACAACCAATTGGCCAGTCGGAGACCCCGAGACTGTACCACCAAGAATGTACCTCCGAGCGGCTGGGTATGCAAGAAAGATCTTGGCCAGATCCATCTCCACCACAAAACCTGAGAATCGATCCCAGCGGCCTCAATTGATTAAAACTAGATTTCTACCATCGTCACAAAAACTCCCGTTTAATCAAATCCATATTTTTGCCAGTGTGCGTGGAGACTTCGGTGCTAGTACCGAGCGCCGACCCGGGCTGCATCTACAGCATCCCGAGATGAGCATTTCAAAAATAGCCCCATAGAATTTTGTACAGATCAACAAGACAGTAGTTTTGACAAATGTATGAATTGGCGAATTTACAACTTCCCCGTCACCGGCCAAGCAACGTGTCTCCCGCTTTGCCAAAGCCTAACCTCTCAATGCGACCACCACGACTAGACCCCAGGAACCCAAAAATACATTCAGGGCCATTTTTTTACCTGTCCATTTAAGAGACCTAATTCTCAGTTAAATCCTGCGTCGCCTTGACCTGCTTCACCCTCTCACAACGCTTGTCTCTGGGGCATAGGACTGCACCTGCACAGTTTTCACTCCGGGACTAACCAACTACCACTATCGGGAGAAAGAGTTGCAAGCCATGTCGTACGAGGAAATCCCTCCGGACGTCGTGTCGCCCCATGATGCGACACAGACAATCCAGCAGACGCTCAAGTGCAAAGACACAGTGATAGCATTGTACGACTTTCCTGGCACCCAGCCATCCCACCTTCCCTTGGACCTCGGAGACACCGTTTATGTTCTAGCTAAGAGTGACAGCGGCTGGTGGGACGGCGTGTTAATTGCCGACGGTGAGATGCTGCGAGGCTGGTTCCCGCATAACTACGTTCGACTGGTGAATTATGTTCAGCCGGTGTTGAATAAACTAAAGCTGAATAAGGAAATCGACTCCATAACGGCTGCCAACACAGCCGCCAACGTGCTAATACCGTCCTTTACAAGCCTTTTGCAACGGTCGCTCGTGGACCTGGGCAAGAACAGCCCGGCAAGCAACACACGTAAGAATTCCGTGGTGTCTTTTGCCAGTCTGGAAACCAGCATATCGGACCAGAGACTGCGGTCGAACCCGGCGCTTTCAAACCATACTCCTTCACCTTCTTCAGAAGCCACCGAGGGTGCATCTCCGGCACCAGCTGCCCATCAGCCCTCCTTCGCCTCCACGTTATCGTCTCATTCGGAGGATATGCCTGTTGCCCAGGATACCCCCATCAAGTTCATACCCGTGGAGGAGGCCGAGCGTTTGACTCTCGAGGTTAAACAGACTGAAGGCAAGAACCTTGTGTGGACCGCACGTGGTACCACTACGGGTGACGTTGCCTTCTATTCTGAGCAGTTGGAGGTGTATTGCGAAACGCTACCGTTGGTGCCGCTTATGCCCCAAGTTGACTTCAATGGAGGCAACTTGCTGCTTCCAACACGCGAAGCGCTTGATAACATCACACCGGTGAATGTGGTGAGAGACGACAAGGCGGAGGATGATCCCCACGGCCGGTCGAATTCTAGTGTGAAGGGATTCGATATGAAGAGAGATTCCAATGCATCTTCAATGTCCACCACGAGCTCTGTGTCATCGTATCATCACTTCCTGCAACCATTCTTTGCCACCAGCGGGTTGTTTTACAACTCATTTGATGATATCAACAAGTGGACAGAGCTCAAGGACCATTTTAACTATCTTCTCGATTTGACCCACAAGGCATTGAAGGATTCCAACAAGCAACTATTCTCCATGCACCTCTCACAGCTTACCAAGGTGGTTTCGATCGTCTTGGCCGGGGCAAGACTAGTTCACCATGACTTCGCTGACTCCAAATATGAAGGCTCCATCAGAAGAAAGCTCAAGCGTATTACAAATGGCTTTTCCCAATTATACATCAATGGCCTACTACATCTCAGCGTCATGCACTATTCTGTCGCTGCATCAAATGCAGAGCTCTTCAGTTTAGATATCCGCAGCCTCAACCGATCCACAGGTCCTACCCCACAAGCATCTACAGTGCTGCCATCAGAGTCCATAAGCTCTTCTATTACAGGCCCCAACACTAGAGGTCTGACTGATGATCTGGCCTCCCATGACTCCGTTGAGTCTTACCTTCTGCAGATCGACCATGAGGTTGACGCTGTGAGATCCAACATGAATGGTCTCATCAAAATCTTCCTTCGTCTTAGTAAGGGCAAAAGAGTGACAATCAAGGATTATGATAGCTCTGATGCTTCAGAAGACGAGGGAGAGGATCGCTTCAATGTGCTTCCACAAGTCTACCCTCGCTTTCTTGCTGACGAATTCAATGGCGGAAACTGGTGCAACCCGTTCTTTACAAACACCAAGCCTTATCTCAACTTGAGTGGTGAACACTTGAAAAACAGATATCATCTCAAAGTGATCATCGACAATGCAGGATACGAACGGGTCAAACTGTCTGCTACTGAGATTGTCAAGATTAGTTCGGAAACATTGAACTACTTGGGACCAGACAACCAAGAGAAGTACTACAACGAGCAGCTCCGTAACGGGCGTAATGAGCAGATATTGCGTTTCATCTACAAGTACTTGCATCATGCCAGCTCCATGCTTGATTTGCTAGAATCCTTTGATTTCACAGTCTTTTGTCTCATCAAAAGGTCTTCCTCTGGTGATAGCTTGGGAAGTAATGAGGAACTTAAGTACGGGGATCAAACTGATGATAACACCACTGGAAACCTTACATTCGACTATCCCGTTGTCCTTGAGTATTTCAAGGCTAAGCAGTTCTTTCACACTTTGGTGTCAAAGGTTATCATGTATTCGCAATCATTGACCTTGGATGACCCTGATGTCTTCACGGCTATGAAAGAGGATGACCCAATCCTTTACAATAGAGAGACTATAAAAGATCCACTTGAGAGATCTGCCATGGTTTTGAGCAACATTTTAATGCAGCAGAACAAAATGAAGGCTCCAGACGCAATTACCCTTGACAAGGATGAAGTGGTGTCCGATTTGCTTCTAGAAGGAATCGACTTCTGTGAGCATATCACAGCGCTTGTGCAACAGCTAGTCGAAGAACGTGAGACAATCTTGAACTACGCCACAAGAGTTATGCATGATGACTTCAACGTCCAGCTACTTGTGATTGAGAGAAACAACACCGCTGCCAGCGAGAAGAACGAGGATAGCGGTGCACAGTATTACAGCAGCAAAAAAGGCGACGAAGACACGCCATGGTATTTGGAAGGCGATGAAGAAGGTGACTTGTTACTTGATATCAAGGGTAATATCAAGGGAGGAACAAAAGAAGCTCTTGTCGCTCACTTAACCAGACATGGGTCTCTTGACAGCGGCTTCATCTCTGTATTCTTGATAACGTTTGCCACAATGATGTCTATCGGTGAATTCATTCAGACTCTTATCAACAGATTCAATATGGATGCTCCTGAAGGGTTAAGCTATGAAGAATACTTGTCATGGAAATCGTTGAAGCAGAGCAAAGTACGCGCAAAGGTCTTGGACATCATGAAATTACTTATTGACGTCCACTGGTGTGACTCCTTTTACAGCATTACAGTGTTGCAACGTTGGTTGGCATTCGCCCAGTTGCCCACTGTGAAGCGCTTTCCGGTCTCTGAAAAGATTTCTGAGGGTATTGAAAAGATCCTCCGCGGGGAGCCAACCACCAAGAGGCACGAGTCCGCCGTGGTTCTTGGGAAGCCTCCAGCTCCCATTCTCAAAGGATTCTCTATCAAAAAATTGAAGCTTCAAGATATCGACTACATTGAGTTTGCCAGACAAATTACTATCCGAGAGTTCCTGTTGTTCTGCCAGATCAATAAACTTGCTTGTATCAACAAGGTTTGGGGCAAGAAGTCAGGTCTACAGGAAAGCATAGAGCCTATTACAAACTTCATCAAAGCATCAAACCAGTTGACAAATTTTGTGGCGTACATGATCTTGAGGAAGGAAGACGCAAAGAAAAGAGTCAGGTCAATCCGCTACTTTGTTCAAGTTGCAGAGAAGTGTCGCCAATATAACAACTTCTCGTCGATGACAGCTATCATCTCGGCCCTCTACTCATCACCCATTCATCGTCTTAAAAAGACATGGGCGTTTGTTTCTCGTGACATCTTGACCCAGCTTCATAACATGAACCGACTTATGAACTCGACGAGAAATTTCAATGAGTATAGAGATGTTCTCAAGTTCATTGGGTCTGAGCCATGTGTTCCGTTCTTCGGAGTGTACTTGAGTGATCTCACCTTCATTTACCACGGAAACCCACAACACTTGTTGAATCGTACTCGTATGATCAATTTTGCGAAAAGAGCAAAGACGGTTGAGATTGTTGAGGGAATTGACAGATTCCAGAAGATTGCTTACAATTTCCAAAGCGTTGGTGAGATTCAGAAGTATCTCGATCTATGGTTCGACAAGTGTCCTTCCATCGAGGAACAATATCAATTGTCCTTGAACCTTGAGCCACGTGAGGTGATCGACCGGAAAGTTTCGAAGAAGAAAACCGGAAAAGACGAAAGTCAGCAGCCTCGGCTGGCGGTCAATGTGAACATTTGGGGCCTTAAGTAAAATATTTCGCAGCCATGAATGCAGAATACCGCTTCCGGTCTGCGGTCTGCGCTCGTCTTTAGACCACTACCCTGCAGGACAGAATCGGTAGTGGTTTACGTCGGCCGGAACGATCTAGTAAGTAACACTGGTGTCCAGGCCATTCGCCATCGAGCATGTTCAATAAACTCAAGTCCTTTTCAGAGGATGTGGCAAAATCATTTAATGAAATACAACAAGGAGAACCACCTCGTAAAAGTATAGACAATATAAGACAGCTCAAGAATGGATCCAATATCTTGAACACGAAGACCCCAGACTCCCAAGACCTTCTACAACCAGAAGACGACAACGAATCCAAAAATGGCAGTCAAACCCAATTGGCTCAAGAAGGTCAATCCGAAGATACAGCAGCACAGACAGCTCCCCCAATTGCAACCTCAGGACCTTTGAAAGACATAGACATGGAGCAGTTACCTCAGCTTGTTAGGGCCAAACTAAAGAAGTTCGTCAAATATGAAGAGAAATATCCTGTCTTGCTTGATGCTTATAAAACTGAAAAGCGTAAGGGTGAATTGGTTCTGGCGTTTGAGAAGGTGCTCAAGGAGTTCACCCCAGTTTCCCTGATCGCAGACGCCGGAGAGCTTGTGGAGTACTTGAAAAGCATACACGATAAGACCGGTATAACGGAGCAGGAGCTTAGGAAGAAGACGGCAGAGGTGACTCAATTGACAAGACGCCTAGCTGATGCTGACAAGACTGTGAGATACACAGAGGAAGCGCTTGACAAGGCCCTGAAAGTTAAGGACAGTTTATCATCAGAGGTTGATTCTCTCAGGCTGGATCTCCTGAATGCAACTCGTGAGGCTACTCCACAGGCATCGGAAGGGAACGCTGAGCTTCAGAAGTCTATCGATGCACTCAAGGAACAACTTGGGTCAGCTCAAACTACCTTGGAGGATGCCACGGAAGAAAAGGAAAGACTCACAAAGGATTTAGAAAAGTCGAACACTGAGTTGAGCTCGGTGCAAAAGGAGTTGGATTCGTTAAAGAACGATGGTGATAGCATATCTGGACAATTGAAAGATCTGCAGCTTAAGCATGAGACATTGACTAAGGAACTCGAGTCAATTAAACATGAAAAGGATACTCTTCAGAGCAATTACAAATCATTGGAAGGAGAAAAGAGTACCCTTCAAGCGAGAGTTTCCGATTTGGAGAGCAAGATCGCAGACACGGAAAAGCAAATTGAGGAGATTCAGAAGGAAAGAGATGAGGCTCAAGCTAAATCGGTTCAAGCGTCCAAAGCAGAACCAGAGACGCAATCTCAGCCCCGCTCTACTGGAAATAAAAAGAAGAAGAATAAGAAGGCCAAGGCACAGTCCGCTTCTCCAGCACCAGAACCAGAGACACCTGACGCAAATAGTGGTGCTTCTGAGTTCAAGGCAAAGTTTGAGGAGCTCACTCAGAAGTATGATGATCTCGTTGCAGAGAAAGAGTCACTCGCATCAGAACTCAGAGAATCAAAGAAGATGGTCGAGTCAAAGAAAGAGGAGATTGAGTCGTTGAACGATATGTTAAGAGAAACAGGCAATGACTTGGTCGCCGCAAAAGATGAGATTAAGCAATTAAAGCTGGATTCGCCCTCGAAAGAAGAACATGAGAAGTACAATCAGCTCGAGAGGCAAGTGGAAGAATCGTCGAAGGAACTTGAGAAAATCAGACGTGAGTCAGAAGAGAAATCTGAAAAGTTGAAGGCCGAGCATGCTGAGCAAGTTGAAAAGATAAGGCAAGAAGCTATTGAGAGCCTGCAGCAGTCATCAAAAGAAGAGATCGAAGCACTCAAATCAAGCTCCGAGAAGGCGTCTGGCATAATTAAGGATTTGAAGGGACAAGTCTCAAGAGCTAACAAAGATCTCGAGAAATCCAAGAAAGAAATAGAGAGCTTAAACCAGGAGAAGGCCAAATTGAATCAGCGTATCGATGAGCTCGCTAAGGCTAAAAGCGTCGATTCATCGTTGAAGCTTGAGATTGCGTCATTGCAGTCGTCTGTGTCGCATAAGGATGAGCTTATCAAGGAGTTCAGAGAAGAGTCAGAAAAGAGAGCAAAAGAGAGAGACACGTTGAAAGCAACAATTTCCCAGCTCGAAAACTCTAATTCTAGTTTGCAAGGTAGCAACAAGTCGCTTGTTCAAGAAAAGTCGGATCTTATCAACAAGCAGGAGGTCACGAACCAACGCATCAGCTCCCTAAACGCAGAACTTTCCAAACTTCAAGTTAGCAGACATGAAGTAGTCAGCGAACTTGACGAGCTAAAAACAAAGTTCGACACGATGGTGAAGACAAAGGCCAACTCATCCGATGAAGTTCAGTCATACAAGCAGCAATATGAAGAGCTTAGTATGAAATCCAAGGAGGCTCAAAACAGAATTGACACCTTGGAGGATGAGCTTTCTGAGGCCAAACTGATGTTACAAGAGAGAACTCGTGAGTCATCTACCATAAGAAAGCTTCTCCTCGAGGCTGAAGAACGCAATAACATTGAGTGTGCTAATCTCAAGAACGATATTAGATCCATCAATAACGAGAAGTCGGAGCTTGAGTCCTCTCTCCAGGGTGTGCTCAAACAAAGACAGCGTGAAATCGATGAGTTGAAGTCGTCATTGTCGGAGTCCGCCAACAAAATCAAGGAGTTGACAAGCCAGATTGAGGGCCTTAAGAAGAAGTACGAGCCTTTACTCAATGAGAGTGCAATCCCTCCAGAGGCAGCAAAGAAGACGAAGGATTTGGAAAACACAATCGAGGAGTTACGAAGCTCCCTTCAGTCTTCCAGTGCCAAGGTCAAAGAGTACGAAAACATGAATCGCACGCTCAAGAAGTTGAACGAGGAATCTTCTCTCAAGGTTGAACGTCTCCTGCAAAATTACAAGCACGTCACACAGCAGTACCGCCAAATGCAAAGTACAAAAGCTACTCCTCCCGAATCCACCAGAAGCTCTTCCGAACTGCCTGCCGCTAAGTCTACTCCAGATAAGGATACGAACACTGCTTACCTCAAGAATGTTCTTTTCGGCTTCTTCGAACACAAGGACCAGCGTGAGCAGCTTTTGCCAGTGGTGAAGACACTTTTCCAACTCGATGATTCTGATGAAGCAAAACTCATGAACGCATTGAAATAATCCGGTTGGCTGCAAAAATGGTGTGCATAGAGGCTCCATCGCTCGATCTCCAAGACCGGAGAAGCCTTCTTAGTTATCTGGTGACATGAGTGCCTTTGATCAGAAAAAAGCTTTTATTCTTGAGCTGATAGGCCTCACTTCTCTGGAAGTACCAGATTCCTCTCCTAAGGGCACGATTGACTCACTCTGCCTCCCCATCATCAATGTGATCAATGCTCATCCTGACATGGTCACAACGTCCCTGTGCTCAGGAAGGGTCTCTGTATTCCTCGAGGGTATGAAGAAAGCTGATACTCAGATTGGCGCCAAGGGCAACGAGGGTCGTTGGCTCTTTGTAACGCATCATCCTGAGGAACTACCGAATTGGTATGATCAGGTTGACTTTGTATATGAAGAGCCCAGACCAACTGAAGATTCCCAACGATTCATTCTCTTCAAGTTTGAGCCCCTCATTTTGCATGTTAAGTGTCGTGATTTGGATACTGCCAATCTACTATATTCCACGGCTATGGGATGTGGTTTCAGGGAATCGGGCATTGGGTCCAACAACATCGTGGGTATCAGAATCTCAATCAAGCTAGATACGCCAATTGGCTACCTTCATGATGAGAAGTTGGTTTCCATTGTTGCGAAGTCTTATCTTGAGCTTATTACGAAACTTTCTCTTGACAGGTTCACTGAAAACTTCAGAAAGATGGAAAGTCTCACGAGGGCTATCGAACTGATGGGAAAGCCACAAAAAGTGCAAGTTGTGGAATCAAAAGAAGAGCGTCGCTTGCGTAAAATGAAAGAAGGTATGGCTAGAAGAGAGTCGGTAAGAGAAGAGAAGGAGAAAAAGAGACGTGAAAAAGAACTTCAAAATCAATAGACTAGTTAATGTACATCTACGCTACATAAAAATGCTCAATAATGAGCTCTAATGCTCCTCCTCCTCCTGTGGGGTATCACGAGACAGGCCCTGGTTAGACTCAGTAGAATCCTCCAGGCCATGCTCTGTGGTGGTAGTTTCTACACCATCAGCAGTCCGCCTGCTTGAAACTCCCGATGCAAATATGGATGACGCGCCTCTCTCGGCCTCACCGGAATCTCTTCTTTCTTGTTCCCTTCTTCTATTTCTGCTGAACAAGTTGAGAATTTGGGTAATCATTGGCGAAACTGGAGAGTTACGGCGACGTCCCAATGAAGGCAGCCCCGCTCTGTCTGTCGATCTGACATGTCTATGAGGATGGAAAATGACAGAGGTTGCCCTTCGAAGTAGACCTGGGTTCTGCGTGTCTTGTGGCGGGTTTGGTGCTTGCTCCTCGGATTGATCCTGACGAGATTCGGGCTGTGGCGCCGAATCCTCACCAGTAGAAGGTTGTCTGTCATCGTAAAGATGCATACCGCCAGCACCAGGTCCCCCAAAGCGCAAGTAAGTAACAGGCGGTAAGTCATTTCTATCCCCAACTTCGTCAGGGATGTTGTTACGACACAAGGGACAGTTGCGGTTCTCATTTAGCCAATGAGCCAAGCATGACTGGCCAAAGACGTGACCACACGGAAGTTCAACTGGTACATGTTTCCATTCAATGTCGCAAGTTTCTAGAGTTGCCTTTTCCTCACGTTCGCTGGAGGTGGATGCAGTGGGTGTGGGCTCCCTCAGGTTCATCTTACGCTTCTTTGTGACACAGTCGTCTATAGGTGGTGGGAGCTGCTCATACTGTTCAAAGCAGATAGCGCAAGTTTGTTCCGTAAGCCCTGGAAGAGACTTAACTGGAAACTTTTGAAAGGTATCAGGGTGAATTCCCTTCTTTCTTTGTGTGCTTGATACTAAAACCAGGTATGCCATACGAGTAGCTAAGGAGATGAACAGCTGGATGGCTCTAGGTTCCCTGTTAGCAGCTGTATTAGGCAAGGTCACCACCAAAGAGCCAGTTCTACCAGGACCGTCTCCTTCCGTCCCATCTAGAAACATGTAATTCACGGTGATAATTATGGAGCCAGAAAGATCTGTTCCGACTATGCCCAACGGATGGTAACCCAACGCAGGTCCACTCAGGCCAGATTGTGGTTCAGACAGCTGTGGACCGGTTTGAGCCTCAGTGCCTGATGCAGCTCCCGTGGCGTCAGCAGCTGGACCATGGTCTAGCGTTACTGTTGGTGTTGTACTTGCGTTGGTCGAGTTGGTAGGGGTTGCACTGTGGCCAGGTTGATCCTGAGACCGTCCTAGTGCTGTATCAAGCAAGTAGTCGAACAAGTTGTAGTTTGGTTCTGGCTGACTTTCAGACCCTCTATCTCGATTCTGGTCATCATTTGATGCTGGATCCGTAGGATTAGAGGGGTTCAGTGGCCTATCGTCCTCAGACGGTTGCTGACTCATGGTCGATTGGGGATCAAATTGAAGGGTGAAGCCGACTCTTGCTTAGTCAGAGGGATAAAATGGAAACTCTGGAAAGAGTATGTGTTGAAAAGGAATTATAATAAATAAAGTTGAGCTTTTGTGGCTTATTATTCGAAAAACCGACCTAAAATAGGAAGAGTCAGGCACGGACCGTTGGGAGCGCCTCTGACGTAGTGGTGGTTTTCTTATACCGGTCATGTGACTGTTGTCCTCGTCTGTTAGGTTCCTTCGTGTGGCTTCTACTTTTGGATTTTGATAAAGGAGATTGTAAAATTGCTTTATTTGGCATATAGAAGGTTCTAGCGGCATTGAAGGTGGCTTCTTTTTTAAGGGGACCTTGTTGCGATACGATACACACTGGCTGCAAATGAGGTTAGCTGACAAGGGTCTTTCAGATCACACTATGGCCTGTCTTTTCTAAATAGCTTTCTTTTGGAAATCAAAAGAATCACCCGTATAATGAAGAGCTTCAGTCTTTTGGTACCGGTCTTCAAGGTATCTGATGATGACTAATGGGTGACTACTAAGGAAGGAGAGACTTCCATTGCGTTCTGTCGCGCATAGAGGCGATCAACAGCATTAAGTCCGTTTGCCATGAATAGGGATTAAAAAAGAGGGTTGAAACGTAGGTTGCAAAAAAACTCAAAAGACAAGAGGGATAAAACTCCGTCAAAGAATATGCATCTTTATGTTTGATGGTCCGAAATGGGAACTATGAGCTGTGCTGCAAGAAACTTTCTCTGCATGAGTTCTGACGCCAGGTCGTATAAATATCCTGGGGTAGAAAAAGCAACTGTTTCAAATAATGAAAATTTGAAGATAGTTGCATATCAGAAATTTGATTCTGCTTTAGTCTCTAGGCTGTTTTACTGCATTCTTGGCTGCAAATCAGCCTGAATGATCACACATGTATATTACATTCCTAAGGGCGCCATCTCTATCCGGAGAATGACTTATATTTATGGCGGTGGTCATATGCATATGCTGCTCACTGAAGCTACTTGGACGATCTTGTCAAGCTGCAATGTTTTTGTGAGTGCATTGTCTCTTAGCCTCCAGCGGCGAGACTTTTTATATTATTAACATGGTGGAGGCATGTCCAATAAGTCGCAAAACGAACATCATATCCTTCATATCTGCTTCGAGGCTGTCAAAGGTCCAAATACTCTTCAACGTGGTGGCGAGAGAACCAAAAGCCTCTGAGTGATGTTTCGAACTGCCTCAAGAACGCAGTATTTAACACCAACGTTTGTGTGATTTTCATGGGGCTTGGCCCATGAAACTTGGTGACTTCACCAAAGCGCCAAAGCTGCTCAACGTAGTTGACTGCCGTCAGCTCCAAGCCAAATAAAGAATAGACGCACGTCTTCCAAGTTGACCTGTCTATGATGTCTGTTATTTGATCATAAAAGCTTTGAGCAGTGTGATTATCGTGGCAGTTCATCTTGACTAAGGACTCACTGGCCAGAAGTAGGGCGCTTGCAAGTGGAAGGGTCACATATGGCTGTACATTGTCAAGCATTTTGCGACCCCTGGAATAAGAAGCCTTCATGGTGTCCACGAGCCACTGCAAATCAAGACCCCAATGAGTGGTGCTTTCTTTGGTAAAGTTTTTCATAACAGCAATAAAAAGTGCCTGTAATGTCAACATATTGTACAAGTCAAAAACGGTATTGAGCTGAGCCCAGTTTTGAAGCGAGCTCATAAGCGTCTGGGAGGATATATCAGTATCCAAGATTGCAAAAAGTGGATTGAACATCAGCATAAGGGTGGTGACATAGTGGGCAAAACGAAGCGTGACAAACTTGTTTGGCTCTGCTCTGATGATCAGAAGCCAACGTACGCATATAAACGAAACTTTAAGTATGGCACCAAGCAGGCTTTTGTTGGAACGAACCGCCAGAATCATATCATTATTCTCCATAGCAGTAAACAATGATTCTGCAGCAAGGCGATTACCGCCGCAAAACTCACTGTAAAGTGTGAGATATGCATACGAGATTTCCCTTGGGGATCTGCAATTTTCAAAACGACGGAAGAACAAACTGGAAGCGATAAGCCCAGTGTCGTAAATCAGCAATGTCAGTGGCGGGGATTCAGGATCTATACCGTAGAGCCATTTCACGAGATCCCTGTCAGGTTGAATCGTGTCTTTGAGTTCTGCGTGCTCGTACTGAAACAGTGTCTCTGCTTGAAGTACCAGGGCCTCAGTCTCAACTAGTTTAATGTAAGTCCAGCAGCGAGCAAGGATAGCAAACTCTTCCGCTCTATCTGGCGGAAGTTTCAGATACTCGAGCTCATGAACTAACAGAAGAAACAGAGTGTTATGAGCGATGGCCCCAAATAGCTTACGAAACTCTCTCGCAACACGTTCAAACTGGGCCAGGGCCATAAGCGTTGTCTTCAACAGGATGACATGGACGATGGTGAAAAGAGCGTCCTCCCAGGTCGTCTGGTCAAGGGCCTTCGCCAACATACTCAGCAAAGTAAGCCATTCATTACAGCGAAGCACAGCTTTCCTGGAGACTCTAGGGCCTGCGAGGCAACCGGCTGCGAAAAACGCTGCAGCAAGGGCCATACATTGAAGAGTGTGCTTATCGGTTTTTTGAAACGAGGAATCGAGCATTTTCTGAGCTGCAGCGTAGACTGAAGTCCAATCCACGAGCTCGTGGAAACCCAGGTTCTCAATCAGATGTGCCCAATTGAAGGCCACTGCAAGTGGAGGAGCATGGGGTTGAAGGTTTTGCCAACGCGTGAAGGCCGCTGGGGGCACATCCACCGTCTTTGCCTGGCATTGAGCAATATACTGGATCATGGGGCCCAGGTTGTGGATGCTGCGAGGGGGAGTTTGGTCAGGCAGGGGAAGGCCAGTGGGCAGATTTGGAACGCCCGTTGCATGGGGCAGAAACGGCAGCAGGTGGTCTGGCGGCAGCAGAAGCAGCAGTTGGGGCAGATGGTCCATGAGCAGGGCCCATGGAGGAGTGTGTTGGAGGGAGCCAAATAGGGGGATTGGGTTGCCAAAGACATGTTTGGGAGCATGGGAGGACAAGCCCAGGCGGGAGTGGGGGAGCTCATCGGAGGACTCTACTTCATGTCTGAGGCGGTCTTTACGACGAGAGTTACGCGAGCGGCGCTCCTGCTGGACAATTCGTTCCTTCTCTGACGGAGGGTTGGGAGGGTTCTCGCGACACTGGTGCTCGCGGCGGGTGCGGATACACAGCAGACACGGGAGCTCCAAATTGCACTTCATTTTGTAGCGTTTGCACGGGCCGCAGGAGTAGGTACGGCGGGAGCGACGAGGCTTCATGATTGATGTGGTGGGCTTTCGAAGTTTGAGTTTGAGGTTGGGGAAGGTTGGTGCGGCGGGAGGCCCAGTTTGCGAGGAACTGCGCCGACGATGTCTTGGCTCCAGCGGTGCCAGCGGCACGAATTCAGGAACAGCGGTGGCGAGGAGAAATCAGGCCCAACGGCGGGTGTTGTTGATCTGCGTGGCTTCTGTGGAATGACCGGAAGCAGAGCGGGTAATTTGAGTCGATGAGATGCGGCCAGGGGAGGGTGTAGGAGTGTTGTGGTAGGCAGCACTGGGAATACGACGTTGGCGGTAATCGGTGGATGGATAGGCCACTAATTGTCTGTGAGGGATGGCAATGGGGAAGCACAGGGGCCAAGGTACAATTGCCGCTTGGATCGTAGATCTTTTGGTCAAAGGTGACGGACCGTTGGAATCACAAGTCTGTTTGTTTACCTGACACTTGAGTGGACGTGGACGGCAAGCGCCAGAAGGAAAGGCACGGCTTGTCAGGGCAAGATGGCGTTTCGTGGTTGTGGATCGAAAAGCCCAGAAAGAAAGAGCAGGTGCTGCTGGGGTTGGAGGGCCGCGGTCAGAGGAACATGCCTTTTGCCGGCAGCGAAGGTCAGGTAATAGGCCGGCAGTGCGGTGAGGCGCCGTTGGCGCCAGCAGCCAGCTATATACCCCAGGAACAGGCGACCAGGCGAGGCATGCGCGGCGCTACTAGGGCGCAGAACGTTGCTGAGGCCCCCCAGCCAGAGGCCGGCCTACGTGAGTGATTTCTACGATCCGGGTGGTTTTTGCAAAACTTCAGTTGCCGTGCGGACGGGAAATAGAGGTGTGCAGCCCGTCATGGAAGCGGTGAACAAAGGGAGTCCTTTGAAGGGAGGCGGTGCGTGCCGGTCGGACCATGGCTCCGGGGCAAACGCTGGTGGCAGTGGCTGGGGGAATTGGTGGGAGGGCAACGAAAAAAACAAAAAAACAAAAAAAAAAAAGTGAGGATGCCAGGCGGCTGCGTAACTTCCTGTGGAGTCGCCGCTGCAGCCCACTCTTTCACCGCCGCCGCTGCAATCAAGTGTGGCCTTGCGGCCCCAGGTTTCTTGTCGCTGCCGCCGACGCATATACCCGCCGGGGCCCTGGCGACCCGCACTGGAACCCAATGCCTGTTTGCCTGTTTTGGCCTGGCCTGATTGTTGTGGGCCCATTGTCCTCCGCGCACAATGTCCGTCAGCCAGCCTCTGGACGACACCTTGGACAAACTCCTCCACTTGTCGAAAACATCGACAAACGGTTGGAAGCGCTGGGTGCCCAGGGCTCTGAAGTGGCACAAACTGTCAGGGGCCTGGTATTCATAATTGTTCTTTGTGACTTGATAGTCGTGGGTGGGTGGGTGGCGGTACTGACTGCCTGGTAGTCGCCTCGTTGCCCCAGTGCCTCGTTGCCTCGTAGCTTCACGGCCTCTACGTCACCTACCACCGGCCCCAGATCGCTGGACGGACTGGAACAACCTGTTGCTGCGCGCCAGGGCTTTTCTCTGCGTCTCGCTAAGCTGCCCGCAGCGGGACCCTGCTGCTCGCCTAACCCTGATCTTCTGGGGCACCGTTTTGGTGGGGTGCTGCTCACTTCTCACTCTGGCGGCAGATCTGCCACTTTTGTGTAAATACAGCGGTGCCCTGAAACACATAGAATAGACTCTTCCAGGCACCTAACCGCTGCTTCGACACAGCAGGCACACACCCGCCGTGCTTACTGTCGCCTACGGCCATTCGTCGATACAAAATGATCCGCTTTACCGCAGAGCGTGCGACCCACCTTGACACCTTGCCCCACCACATTGACACTTCGCCCCAGAGTGTACCCAGGGCATTTCGCTACAAACCATGCCCCACAACTTGCCACTACACTTTTTCTATAAAACCTCCACTTTCCCACCCTTATTAACTCTCCCTCTCCCTCTCGATATCTTCATGTCCTCCACCTTAGTCCTCCGTTACCGGCTGCACCACGCAAGATGACACCGCTGGAAAGCAGCCCTGCTGTAGGCCGCCTTGATTCCAGGCCCGTCCGCCTATTTCGTGCCGTCCCGCCGGTTCGACTTGACTAAAGTGTCAACTACTAAACCTTGCGCTAAGCCCCTCCATCCCTTATCTCCGGCCTCACCTCCCTCTTTTGTTAGGCTTCTGGCGTGACTTTACGAACGACATGTTGCTGCAGCTCCAAGAAACCTTATACGACAAAATAGCCCGTTGACAGCTTATCTGCTTTTTGCAGCTCGGGCTTTGCCCCAGCTACATCTTGCCAAGACCTTTCTCATGTGTTTTCGTAGATTTTCTCGTTGCTGGTGGGCAGTGTAAGAAACATTAAACAAACACAATTGCCCAAAATTTTCACATTCCCATTCTCTTTCCCGTGCTACAAGCAATCCAAAAATTTTCTTCATATAATCATGTTTTCATGGTACATGTGAAATCCGCCCGTAGTAAGTATTGCCGTGCCATGTTTGGTGATGTTGCAGTGCTGCTGCTCATAGAAACAACAGGGTCACCAACCATGGAAGCATAAATGCTGTGGGAATAGTTGTGGATAAAATTAAGAAAATCCACCATCCACTGGAAAAACTTTTATCCTTGAAGCTTTCTTCGTGCAAATCATCTTTTGTGACGTTTGCACGGGCTATTGCAACTCCACCCAAAATGATTTCCAACACTGCCACCAAGAAAACGGTTTCACTTATTCTTCTAATAACGAGATTCAATCCCATCATCCCGTCAATCCAGCTGCCGCCTTCGCTTACAAAGTATTCATGATAAGTCGTTGAGAGGGCTAAAGAATGGTAAAAGGCTGCCATCCAGACCACATAAAACCTCCAAGCTGGCAGATCCACGAGCGCTGGCTTAAGGGGCCTGATACTCTCATTATGTTTGGAAAATGGAGAAACTTCATGTTGATAAAGGCAGGCCAAGAAGATGATTAGACAAACTTCAAAAAATGGATCCATCACAAGTTGAGTTATTTTGACCGTTACCAAAAAGCACTTGCACTTACTAGAAGATTGAGTTACTAAGTGTTATTGTAGCATTATTTCAAAGTTCATGTATAATAACACATAGAGAGCTCTTGGCACTTCGTTAAAGGACTCGATCGAAACAGGTACACCTGGAAGAGATCTTTCTATCCTCCGTCCTCCTTGCTCCTGAAAAGAAATTTAGAGCTCTTGAAGCTATTCGAGTGTTCCTGGGAGCTTCATGCTGACAATTGAACCATTGTTGTTCCCCATGACCTCTTGGGTCGTCTACTGATTAGCCGTCCGAATCCAACAGCTTACAGCCTCCCCGGGTAAAGTTGAAGTGGCTTGTTTCAATTTCCCCTTAGTATCAACTAATTAATGTTGACTCCAGAGTAGTAGAGAGAGAATGACATGGGGGCATACATCTACAAGTTTTCTCAAGCTCTGTGCTTCGAAATTCGCTGCCCACGTTGCTTCCGCATACCGGGAAACATTTGTTGAAAGAAGAATATAATCTTCTTAAAACACAAAGTAGACCACTGAAGTAGTTTTGTGAAGAAAGTGTATCTCCTATGGTACCAGTTCAGTAAACACCTGTACACCTCAGTAGTAAGCCTCGAGATTGAATCTACATGCTCAACCGTCAGAGCAAAACACAAGGAAGACAGTGATAAGTTTAGCTTTTGCTTTTTTCAAATTTCCTTTTTTCTGGTCTGTTTTCGGAAGCTTGCTCCCTATGGTAACTAAAACACCCATTTGTCTGACTTCATCCTACTACACCCGTACATCAGAAATCCACCAACCAAATCCTCCACATATCGCATTTTCAATACACAAAATTCTCAACCATCCAACCTAACCAAACCACAACCAAGGCCATGTTGAGAAACCTCGCCAGAGTGGGTGTTGCTAAACAGGCTTCCAGGCCTTTGGCTGCTACGGTGCTGGCGCTTTCCAGAACCGCTGCCTTCTCCACTTCCAGATCTGTCCAAAAAGAGGAAGAAGAGCCTCTTCAGAATCTCTATGAGTTGCCCAGAAAGTCCAATGCTCCCATCCATGCTCCTATTGAGAACCCAGCTGACAAGTACAAGGAAACCTCCGAAGAGTTGCACAAATTTGGTCGTTACCTTATGTCCTGTTTGCCAAAGTACATCCAGCAGTTCTCTGTGTGGAAAGATGAGTTGGTGCTCTACATTCCTCCATCAGCCGTTCGTATCGTGATGACATTTTTGAAAAACCACACTCCAGCTCAGTTCAAGTCTTGTATGGATGTCACTGCTGCTGATTACCCATCGAGAGTCAACCGTTTCGATGTCGTTTACAACTTGTTGAGTGTGCGTCACAACTCCAGAATCAGAGTTAAAACATATGCGCTGGAGACGTCACTGGTTCCATCTGTGGTGCCTATTTTCCAGGGTGCCAACTGGTTTGAGAGAGAAACATACGACTTATTCGGTATCTTCTTTGAAGGTCACCCCGATCTCAGAAGAATCATGACCGACTACGGTTTCGAAGGCCACCCATTGAGAAAAGACTTCCCTACTACCGGTTACACTGAAGTCCGTTACGATGAAGAGAAAAAGAGAGTGGTTTATGAGCCTTTGGAGTTGACCCAGGCCTGGAGAAACTTCACTGTTGGTTCCTCTGTGTGGGAGCAGGTTGGCGATGGTAAAGACTTCACACCTGAGTCTTTCAAGTTGCCCACACCAGAGCCTGAGCCTCAGGAGGACGAAAAGGACAAGAAATAGATCTCTTCATAACCCGCGTGGTGGGCATCACCAACAACCCTTGCATACACTAATATATTCTAGGAAATATCATTTTCGTTACGTAGCTATGCGTTTATACCGTCAGAAGCTCCTGCTGAAGTTGTGCTAGCTCCTTCTCTTTGCCTGCGAGGAACTCTTCAAGCACTTGCACCTGAGACCCAATCAACTCTATATCGTTCTTCACATCGGTCAAGTCCTTGTCGGTGTTGGGCACGTTTTCGGCTGCTGAGAGTTTGCCCTGCTTGTATTTAAGTAGCTGTTCAAACTCGTGTTTTAGCAATGCCAGATCGCTATTGCCGCTGTCGCTCTTGTTGTTCAGCTCCTGCTTAGCCTTCTCCAAAAGGTCCTCCAAGTTAGTCAATTCTCGGCGTAAGCGGACCTCTTCCCAGTCGGTACCTTCGGTTGCGGAGAAATCAGTTCCCTTCTCGCGGTCGGCATTGTTGCCCTGGCCGATTTTATTAAGATAGCTCATGCCAAACAGCTTTTTGTCATTGGCCTTTGGCTGGCTGATATTTTTGGCGGGTGTTGAAGCTGCTGCTGCACTCAAATCATATGAGGGAACTTCCTTGGAGAATGTAGCTCTCAAGGATGCTGGTACACCTCGTGGAATACGCTTTCCGTTCTCACGCTGATTTAATATGTGGAGAAAAACCAAGACCTGATCTTTGTCAATTGTTTCAAACAGCTTTGGGTTGACCAAGTTCCAGGCCGAGGAGATGTCCGAGCGTGGGACCTTGGAAAGTGTCAGGTACAAGCCTTCAAGAGAATCGAAACGCACACGGCCATATGAGTCACTGTTTGAGTTGTAAATCGTTTCGTAAGTGCCTTTGTCAGTAGGCGAGATGTACCAGTCAAAGTCGTTAGACAACAAATCGTCATCGTCGCCATCGTATGAATTGCCTGTTGAACCTGTTGCGACAGCTTTGTTGGCATGAATCAAGTGAGATTTGGAGGAAGGGACAAGCCAGCCTGGTAATTCCAGCGGCAATTCCAGCATAGAGCCATTGACCAAGTCGAAAATCAACCGCATGGTGATACAGAACTCTTCAAAGTCCAAGCGGCCATCGGCATCAATATCTGAGAGATCCCATATCTTCGACAATTGGTCATCCTTGAGACGGGAGTTCTTAAGAACAGGCAGAACACGATCACCCGTGAGCTTGTTGTTTTCGGGTTTAAGCCCCTGGAAGATTTCCCAGTACTTTTTGATTTCCCACTCTTCCAAACGGGGCATGCTGGTGTTGAAACAGTTGATACTACGGTTCAGTTGTTGCGACGTGGTCGGACATCCGTACACCCAGATTTGTGCCCTGGTCGGTGTACTCTTTTTAAGTGTGTGTTCACGACTGTGATTTTGATTATTCACTAAATTTTTCAATCGACCTTTTGATTTGCTGATCTCTTCTCTTTTTTTTGAATTCACATTCGTTTTTTATGGCGGAGTAGTGCGTGCCATTACTAGTGCTGAAGAAGTTATCTCTCCGGATCTCTCGAAGATAACGGTTGATCAACTCTATTCATAAACGCTTCACCTTCTCTTCCTTCTTATGTTTCCTCAAAATCTGTAAATGAGTAAGATACAGTTATTGAGACCTTACCACATGCTAGCCTGCCCCAGAAATTCAAGAACCTACACCGGCAAAACCTACTGTTCCTTCCTTCACTTGCTCATGAATTGAGTCTATGCTATAATGTACAATTATTCCTCCATGCCCGCATCATCGTCCGAATCATCCTCGTCGGTGAAACCACCAGCCTCAGCTGTCATCAATGTCTCCTTAGCATCACCATGATACTTTCTGGCGATTCTGGATGCACGGCCACGCTGAGCAGCCTCTTCTCTAGCCACCTTTTGGAGCTGCTTCAATTCCTCCTTGAAAGAGTTTCTCACGGATTTGTTGGAGAAACAGTCCCACATCTTCAAAGGACCGGAGGCACCGCCCACAGTCATGTTACCAGCAACCTCAGCATCACCGGCGAAAGAACAGGTCAAAACGTTACCAACACCGAAGTCTCTGGATAAGACCATTGAGGGACCCTTGTTGGCCTCGGTTGGTGCCTTCCACAACTTCACAAGCTTTTCGCTCATGGCAGATGTGATCAACATGCCGGGAACGTGACTGCTGACGTCCAAGGAAGAGATTCCAGTGTCATGGGCATGCAAAGTCCAGAGGGGCTTGTCCTGGTTTCTGATATCGAAACAGTAGACATTACCACCGTCAGTACCAGCGTAGAAGATCTCTGGTTGGGCGCCCCACTGAACGCTTTCAACGTCCTGGCCACCGCCAACAAAGTATGATTTGGTCATTTGGCTGTCGTCAGAGATTCTGACATCGGAGATGGCTCCAGCGCCGTTGTAACCACCGGTCAATAAGATGGAGGCCTCTTGGGCGTGCCACAGACTCAGCGAGACAGTCTTGCCCTGGTGGACATCATTGAGAGACCTGACGGCGGTACCTTGCGAGAGATCCCAGAGCTTCACTGTCTTGTCGGCAGATGTAGAAGCCAATGCAGTTCTGTGAGTTCTGTTGTGAGCCAACGACAAAACGGCGTCGGTATGGTGTGTGGAAACAAACTTACCCTTGCTCTTCTTCTTTTTCTTCTTCAGCAATGACTGGAAGGAGTTTTGCTGTGGTTCGCCCAAGATCATGTCGGGGAAGGCCTTGTCGACACAGTCCAAGTTCCACACCTCGATCTGAGGATCAAACGTACCAATTGCAGCAAAGTTACCGATGTTGGCAGCATTGTCCTCTCCACTAGTACCAGGGCGGAAGTTCACCCATTCGACACAAAGTGGGAAAGCAGGTAACATCAAGTCGTGGTGCACGTACAAGTTGGACTCTCTGGTCATACCCTGAGCGACATCTTCATCCAATTCATCGCCCTTCTCCAACTCAGATCCCTCTGGTGCACCAGCACCATCGTCGTAGACATACACATCTAGATAGGAGACATCGTCCTCGGTTCTTGTGGCCAACACCAAGTTATCGGTTGGGTAGACCTGCAATTCTTGCTTTTCCTGCTTTTCCTCAGCAGCAGTTGGTAACGAAAGGTAGCCATCACCATCTTCGTCCTCCTTGTAGGATGCATCGGTGTTACTGAGACCTGGGAACATGGACACAGTCTCGCCCTCCTCCTCTTCGTCATCGTCATAAGTATCTAGGTTGTACTCTTTCAAGTCATCATCGATATCCTCCTCCAGCTTGAACTCTTTTTTCTGAGCCTCTTGCAAGTCAGCTTTGGCATCTGACAACTCCAACTGAGCCATCTGGGTTATTCTCTCCATCTCGGCATCGTCCAATTCGTATTTTTCTGGGAATTCGGCAGCAAAGCCTCTTGGTACCCAGCAACTCGAAGAAATCATTCTGACTGAACTTTTACTTTCTTCAAATGCGTAATCTGGACTTCACGATTTTCACTTTTTTAAGATGAGCTTCGCGATGTCCCCAGTGAAAAGCGTTCGTCTCGGTGTGCAGGCCATACAACGCTAGGGCCTATTCTTGACTTGAACACCACTAAATTGGTTCTATATTATTTGAGCAGGTTCCGCTCCTTACTCCGTTATTCTTCTATTAAACCCTGAATTATGATTGGAAGCTGTCTGTTATACGTAGTCCATCAACGCAGTGACACTGGGCTTCATTTTGCAACCATTATGCACCATGCAATGAGACCTCTTCATATAGATCACATCAAATTTCAACCGAGTAGTTCATCGAGAAAGCTCTCGTCCTCCTTTGAAATGTGCCCCTTCGCTTTTGGAGCCTCCTTTTCTAGATTCACCAGATCAAGCAGCTCGAGTAGCTCATCCAAATCCTGCTCACCCACTGGCTCGTGCTGAGGCTTATTTGTGGTGACCCCAAGAAGCGTTTCTAGATCATCTTCAAGCGTGTTGGCGTCATCAGGACCAGTCTGAGCTATTCTCTTGCTCAACACTTCCATGGCACGATCGTCGTTCTCGTTAATGTTGTTGATCTCAAGGATCTTACGAGTCTGTGAATTTGAAGTTCCAAACTTCTTCTTGATTTGCTCATGGAGCTTAGCACTTTCAAGCTTCTCAGCACGATTCAGATGCTGTTCTTTCTCCTCCTCGGTGAGCTCTCTCATGGTACCCTTGCTGGGCCTGTCTAGCTTGCCACCAATCTTAAAGTTATGTAGGTCTTCTGCTGTGAGCTTGTCCAAGTCCTTCCATACTTGATCCTCGTCTCCTTTGGAGTAGTCCGAACTTTTGACCGTACTTGTGTAACTTTCAATGCCGTATTCGTCCAAAAGGTTATCAGATATTTTGCTCTTAAGTAGTTTGCGGCTCTTCTGTGGCTTGATTTCCGAAGATAGGTACTCGACTATCTTTGATTCTAGCTGGTCCTTGGGCATAAGATACTTCGCAGCTTCCTCGTCAATCTCTAGCTCTCCCTCTTCGGGAATCTCTTCTGCCTTCTCATGTCTTGTGCCAAGGTATATACCATCTTCTTCGTTGAATTCTTTCTTCTCGGGTTCTGGCTCCTCCTGATTCTGGTGCTGCATGAGCGCATACACAATCTGGCGTTTAATGGCCAACTTTGATTCCACAGAGAGCTCTGTTTCGCCCAATTGCGGGTAAAAGTGGTCCAAAAGCGCCTCGTCTTCAGAGTCCCAATCACTATCTTCTTCATCAAAGTGAAGCACTCTCGGAGTACTAGACAGCTTTTTGGCTGACCATTTCGTTTTCACTGGCTTGGGTGCTTCTTGCTGTACAATTCCATGCTTTTTCATGTACTTGTTCTTCGCTTTGCGGTCCCATTTTGACTTGTGGAGCACCATAGTAGTGGTTGATGGGTGCGAAATTGTTGATGTTCTCAGAGGGTCTAAGAAGGTGAGAGGGACCGATCAATTTCGCCAAAATTTGATAAAAATAGAAATACGTGAAACTCTGAATCCTAGACCTTTTTCGCGTTTAGCTTGTTTCACTTCTTCGTATCGTGACTATTATATCCCGCCTGCCTCGTTTCAACAAGACCTAGTACTGAAATACCCCTAGGAAGCATCACACCTACAGTGTCTATTTCCGAAAGTCCTCTGTAGCTTCTGTTCGAAATTTAAACAATGACTCACTTCATTGGCCATGGAGCTTCAATCAAGTCTTCCATGTGGTTCTTGAACAGTATCTCGGGTCATTTTGCAGCCAAGCAGGATCACTTAAATACCCCTCCCAGCAAACTTGACAGATTCTCATGACCATGAAGAGCACTTGAAATATATATAAAGCGCTAAGTGGCCATCAATAAATAACAATTTTCCAAAACTTGTCGGCCGGATTTTGCTGCAAAGTCCACACTGAAAAATCCGCATCTCTCCGCCAACCTCAGTCCAGACCAAATGGTCCCTAACTCTGCACCTCCCATAAAAGGTCACAAAGTCCCAATAAGCTCCACCTTTTTTAAAACCAATTAGGTGTCGAGATCAGCAGTTTCAAAATCTTTCTTGTGAAGCACCTCCTCCAACGAAAGATACTTCCATCCCCCCCTCCTCCACCTGTACTGCCTGTCGCGACCTCGGATCCACCTCAACTACTTCTCTTTAACATCATGTCCGAAAAGCCGCCCAAGCTGATTGAGGAGCTTTTGAAGCTCTTGCTGATGGGAGAGGCGCTCAACGAAACTCAGAAAAAACAGATGAAAGATTACAAGTTCTGGAAAACCCAGCCCGTTCCTTCCTTGGACGAAGTGGTGGACAACTATGGACCAATCGAGGTCAAGACTCCGGAAGAGGTACCGCTGGAGCCATTGCCACTTTTGGCTGAATTCTACTGGTCCACGATAGATGTGGAGTCTCTGGACCAATTGGATGAGGTGTACCAGCTTTTGTATGAACACTACGTGGAGGACCAGGATGCTACCTTTAGGTTCAAGTACTCCCATGAATTTTTCAAGTGGGCTTTGAAGCCACCTGGATGGCGCAAGGACTGGCACTTGGGTGTCAGAGTGCGTGGTACAGACAAGCTCGTGGCTTTTATTGCAGCTGTGCCTGTGATGTTGAGATTGACAAAACCAGGAAACGAAATCAAGCTGGTTGAGATCAACTTTTTGTGCATCCACAAGAAATTGCGTTCCAAGCGTTTGACACCAGTACTCATCAAGGAAATCACGAGGCGAGTCAACAAGGAGGATATCTGGCAGGCACTTTATACTGCTGGAATCGTGTTGCCTTCACCAGTCTCCTGCTGCAGATACACTCACCGTCCGCTTAACTGGCTGAAGTTGTATGACGTGGGATTCTCCCATCTCCCTCAGGGCCTGACCAAGGCCAAGATGGTAGCTCACTACTCCTTGCCTAATGCCACAAACACAGAGGGTCTCAGACCTATTGAACCAAAGGACATTGACCAAGTACACGATTTGCTCCACCGATTCCAGGAGCGTTTCGATCTTGTTCAGCGCTTCACGAAGGAGGAAGCAGCCCATTGGTTCTTGGGTGGTGACGCCAGAGCTAGTGTGATCAAGACATACGTGGTGGAGAAGGAAGGACGCATTACTGACTTCTTTTCATACTACTTGCTTCCTTTCTCCGTGTTGGATAACCCTTCACACTCCGAATTGGGCATTGCATACCTCTTCTACTATGCATCCGAGCTGGCGCTCAACGATGCTGACAACTACAAGACTCGCCTCAACCAGTTGATCAACGATGCCTTGATTACTGCTAAAGAGTTTAATGTGGACGTGTTCAATGCATTGACGTCACAAGACAACCCTCTTTTCATCAAGCAAAACAAGTTTGGCAGCGGCGACGGTTTCTTGAACTACTACTTGTTTAACTACCGTATGAAGCCTATCAGCGGAGGTGTTGATCCAAAAACGAACCAAATTGATGAAGACAAGGGTTCTGGCGTGGGTGTGGTGCTTTTTTAGCTGCAGATACCAACAGATTTAATCACGAGTAACTCATGGAGCTCTATAATATACATTTTCATGGCTCCATACAACTGAGCTTGCAAGCAATGTCAGTGTAAGGAATTTAATGTAGAAGGAAGCAGGATCTAAACTTTAAGGATTGGGAAGATTGGCATTTTTAAGCTTGAACCATTATAGCGTGAGATAGAGTTCTCACGCATTCTTCCTTATGATTTGGGAAACCTTACCGTAGCATCCGACACTATCAAGATTGTCCCACAATTTGGCGAAACACTAAAAAATTTCCTTAATTTGTCTTCATCATCTTTTGGTCATCGTAATTGCATCTTATAAGAAACTGAGCATCACATAACCTACATCAGTCAACTCAGATCTCTTCGTACCTCCCAAACCTCTGCGATATTTTGCACCCACCTTATCGCGATATCAGCCACAGCGTTTATCAACTACTCCGCTCATTCACACACAAGATTATTTTGCATGAAACAAGCATCACCATAGACCAGCATGGCCCTCTCAGAGACAGATACACAAGCCATTTCGCTCTTTGAGCAAGCCATGGAGAAAGAGCAGCATGGCTCCATGTCAGACGCCGTGGGGTTCTATAGACAAGCATTTCGACTCAATGAGCAGGTGGATAGATTATACCGGCAGGAGCGAGTGCCTCAAGCGATTCAGAAACTTAAAGCTGAACACGGAAAGAACGTGGCACACAAGGTCGATGAAGAGGAGGTAAGGAAGATAGATGTTGATCGCTTACTATCACTGTGGGAGCATGTGGAGGCACAGGCTCCGAGCAAGGACGATCCGGACCACTGGAACGATGACGTGGTTGTTAAAATTGACAATTTGGCGTTGAATGCACCGGATGAGGAGGTATCGCCTCTAATAGACCTCCCGGGTGAAGTATGGGTTAGGGTTTTGGGGTTCTTACAGGAGTCACTGCCCGAGCTGTGGTTCCAATTTGGCATGACGTGCAAGAAACACGCGTACTTGGCGTTTGCTCTGTCAGCATTGTGGGAGAAGCTATGTTACTTGATCTACCCCCATCAAAGGCACGAGACGGCTGCTCTCAACGATCCAAAGGAATTGTACGCTAAAAGCGGCTCATGGAAAAAGGTGCTTTGGAAAAACCCTTTTGTGAAGTTTATGGGTTGCTACATCAGCGTGGTCAATTACTACACTGAGGGTGGTAGAGGTGAGTACTCTCTTAACTGGTCTAACCCAGTGAAAACAAATACGTACTATCGGTATCTTCGATTGTACCCTGATGGCGTATGCCTCATGGCATTGACAGCATTGGACCCAACAAAAGTGGTTCATCAGATGACAAAAAGCAATACGAACAAGTGCATCATGGAAACTAAAGATGTTGCCCTTCACTTCAACCCTGCCACACATCCTCACAAAATATACACTGGTGGCTGGAGTCTAAAAAAAAATGGCGAGTTGGAGATTCGTCTTTATCAGGGATCAGTTCCTTACTACACGTTCTACTACTATTTCAAAATCAAGAGTCTAGGGCAAAAACCAAATTACAGTAAATTGCTGTGGGTACGATATTTCGCTGTTGAAAAGACAGAGTCGGGTGACGCTCCTACTGGTGACGAAATCGACTTTTCCTTGAAGAATGAGACTTCATTCAAGTTTTCAAGAGTCAAGTCTTTCACTAATGAGTGAGCTTGGATAAACTGCCTATCAAGACGCTAGCGAGGATGATTACTGAGAGGCGATAATAATTTAAGTAAATAGTAAATGGGCCAAAGCTTTCCCCAATACCATACCATATCTGTTTGGATGGAGCACTAGTAGTACCTGAGGCTCACGTCTAACTGAGTAGTGCTCCTGACTACATACTCCAGGGCTACATGATTTATACAAACATTCACATAATTATGAACCGTAGATTATTATTCCGAACTTCACTATTTTCGTCAAACTTGTCATGGATTTAAATCAAGATCAAGATCATAGCGTCTACCGTGAACGCCTCGCACTGATTCTCAAACTACGGCGCCACACTCACAATTCAAAAACGATACTTGCATGTCATTGAGTAATCTCAAATACGATAAACCAAAAGAATGAAATTATTTTCTAGTAAGTTGCCTCCTTCATTGGAGGGCCACCTAATATCTGGTCTGACTGTTACCCTACTCCGCGTAAGTGCCTGCACTAAGAAAATTTTTCGTGCACCGATGAACTAAAAAAAATCATCTTCACAAGTTCACCAAACCATCCACACACGAAAAATGTCCCGATTTTTTGCGGCTGGCTACACGTCCGACACGTCGTCCGAGGAGGAGGACCTCTTGAGCGGCTCCGAGGAGTTGATGCTGTCGCTGACGGAAGAATTCTCCACGGACTCTGAGTTCGACAACGACTCAGACGATCTGGATCTGGAAGATGAGGATTACCTGGGTGCTGGCGTTTCTTATTTCTTGAAAAAAGACTTTTTGAAAGGCCTGGCTGACAGCGATCTGGACCTGGACAACGAGGGCCGTAAGGTCGTCAAGAGTGGTAAAGAGAAGCTTTTGGATGATATGAGAGAGCTGGTCGATTTGATCTACAACTCCAGAAACCTCGAGAACTGGAGTTCTGTGTTGACTGAATTCGACAAATTGGGTAGAACCTTGATCAGAGCTAACCAGCAAAACATTGCCGTGCCCAACTTTTACTACAAGATGTTGGGTGAGTTGGAGGAGACGTTATCTGAGGCTGCGTCCCAAGACAAGAAGAAGCTTCCTACCGACCAGAACAGGTCTTTCAACACAATGAAGCAGAGAGTCAAGAAGGCCGCTAAGGAGTACCAGGTGTACTTGGACTACTACAAAGAGAACCCAGCTGCTTTCGACACCGAGGAGCCTTTGGATATCGCCGTCTCTAACAACGATTCAGGTGTCGGTGGTG